TAATTCATCGAAGAACAATATTTCTATAATTATAAAGATATTTTTTATATTACTTAAAACGATTAATTAAACAGAATAACAATAAATTTAAAAAATGTATAAATATGTAGCTACATCCCGTTTATTTTTAATTGTATCCAAATTCCTCGAATTCTTCGAGGCATAATTTTAACCACGTTCTGTCAAAATTCTGGTGAAAATAAATCAATATTCTTGCATATTTGCTTCAATTCGTTAACGGACCTGACAGGAGGTTTCCTCAATGCTTTTCTTATTTTGCGCCACAAAGTCTATTGAGAACAGGTCGGGGCTATTAGAGATCCATTCCAGAAGTGGTATACCATAATCTTCAATACATTTTAAAGCCATTTTGAGATATGGCAACCCGCGCTATTCTATTGGAAGACATAATCTTCCGCTGATGTTAAAATCCTCAAATATTTGTCGGCATTTTCAATCCTACCGATAAAATGGAACACTGCCTCGAACACATACTTCAATTAATGTGTCCAATATTTATATTCTTTTGACAATTTTTGTGGAAAACTTTACGTATCTTGGAAGTGTCATAACGGAAAAACGGAGGTACAGAAGACGATATTCGTATGAGGATACGAAAAGCACAAAGATCCGAATATTCCGTTCAAATGTCATGTCTGTTCTACTCTACGGATGTGAAACCTGGAAAGTGACAAACACCCTCACAGACAAACTACAGGTCTTTGTTAACAAATGTCTACGAAGAATTGTCCGTATATTTTGACCTAACACCATCAGAAACGAAGATCTGCTACACCTGACCGAACAAAAGGGGGTACAAAATGAAATTAAGTACAGAAAGGTTGGATCGGTCACACACTCCGAAAAAATAGTTCCAGTATCGCAAAGACTGCCCTAGAGTGGAATCCCCAAAGGAAAAGAAAAAGAGGTGGCCCAGTACAAACTTGGAGAAGATCCATCATGGACGAGATAAGAGACCAAGGAAAGTCTTGGAATGAGGTGAAGGCCTTAGCGCAAAACATAACCCGATGGCGCGTTTTCACTGAAGCTCTATGCTCCACTTAGGGGTTCAAGAACCTTATATATATATATATATATATATATATATATATATAATATATATATATATATATATATATATATATATATATATATATATATTGACAATTTTAATCTATGTATTTTTCTTTTATCTACAATATGCATGTATTTTGTAATGTTAAAAGTGGCTTTCCCTTAGCCTGAAACAAAATGAAATTATTCAAACACAATTCCTACTAACTTTTTTCGACTATAAAACTTACTTTGTAAGTACCAAATCCTAATTTGTGGGCCTGTCGGTGATATGCTGAAACGTGTTTTCGACAGCGTCACTCCAGAAGACACTTAACTCTACAAGTTGCTCAACGATTTTCCACTATAAATGCGTCTTAATGCTCTTCTATCTGTTTCAGATATTTTACTTTTTCCTACATTTTGTATGGAAAAATCAAGTGCTTGATTTTCTCTTGTGAGAAGTTTCGTAATAACAAAACCATTCTTCATAGCTGCTCTAAATACCACAATACTGTGGACAGTATTGTGGTATTGAAGTTCATGAAACGAGTTTTTACACTAAGTTTTGTTGTTTCAATGTTTTCTTAATCACAACTATGGGGAATACGGAATAAACCATAAATCTCTAGGACCTTTAGCCGATCCTTTGTTATTGACGTAGCAGTTTGTGTGTATTATTTTACAATATATCATCTTTCAGCCCCATCTTCACATCCATTGTTGGTCTCTTTCAAACGTCTCCAGTTCTTTCTATCTCTAGCTGCTGCAATCCAGTTTGTTTCTATTCTCCTTAAGTCGTCGGTCCATCGGGTGGGTGGTCTGCCTCGACTTCGCTTGTCGGCTCTTGGTTTCCACTCCAATAATCTCTTCGTCCATCTTCCGTCTTCCATTCTAGCAGCATGTCCAGACCACCTCCACTTTTGTTTATCGACTCGCAGTATAATATCGTGTACGCCAGTTCGTCGGCGTATCTCCTCATTTCTCACGCGATCTTTCAAGGTTAGGCCCAGCATTGATCTCTCCATTCGCCTTTGTGTTTCCCTCAGTTTTTCAGCAGTAGCTTTCGTTAAAGTTAGGGTCTCTGCTCCGTAGGTCAAGACTAGTAAGATGCATTGGTTAAATGCCTTCCTTTTCAGGTGAATTGGGATATTTGTTTTAAAAATGTCTCTCATCCTTCCATATACCGCCCATCCCAACGTGATTCGTCTATTTAGCTCGCAGGTTTGGTTGTCTCTGGTTATTCTAATTTCATGACCCAAGTATGTCTACTTATCGAATAATGCTACCTTGTTGTTATTGATCTGCATCTCTTCGCTGGGAACCATATTGGTCATCATTTTGGTTTTCTCGAAATTTATCTCCAGCCCAGTTTCTTGTAGTATGTCATTCAGTTCTTGGAGCATGTCTTTGATCTCTCCCAGATTATCTGACGGAAGCACGATATCGTCCGCAAAACGTAGATGGTTTAATCTTTCTCCATCGATGGATATTCCTTTCTGTTTGCCATGTTAGTCTTTTAAATGCATACTCAAGAACGGTAATGAACAGCTTTGGTGAAATGGTATCACCTTGCCTGCCTCCCCTTTTTATCTTTATTTTATTAGATGCAGAATGTAGACTTATGGTTGTTGTGGCATTTTCCTGTATATTATTAACTATATTACAATATCTGTGGTCGACCCTGCAATCTTGTAGTGCTCTTAAGATGGACGCTAGTTCCACTATATCAAACGCCGTTTTAAAATCTACAAATATCAATGCCAAGGGACGGTTATATTCGTTAGTTATTTCTATCAGGGTTTTTAGGTACTGAAGGTGATCGTTTGTGCCGTAGTTAGGGCGGAAACAGGCTTCTTACCGAGGTTGGTAAAAATCCAGCTTTGTCTCTAATCTGTTCGTTATTATTCGGGTGTATAATTTATAAAGATGGTTAAGGAGACTGATTGGTCTGTATCTTTCCAGGTCTGCTATATCTCCCTTCTTGTGTAAGAGTACAGTTATTGAATTATATCCACTTTGTTGGGATATTTTGATTCCATAGGGATAGATTAAAGAGCTTTTGAATTTTGGCTATCAGTACTGAGCGTCCTATCTTTATCGCTTCTGTGACGACACCGTCCTCCCCAGAGCTTTGTTATTCTTCATATTTTTTTAGAGCCTTGTAAATTTCGTCCAAGGAGATTTTTGGGATATCTTCCGAACACTGATTTTGAACCTTCCTCTGTTGTTATTCAATTATAATCTAGAGTCGATTGGTTGCTATATAATGTTTCATATAATGATTCCACAATTTGTAACAAATGTTCTCTGTTTGATGCGATGTTGCCATTTCTATCCTCGAGTTTGACTATTTGTTTATTTCCATTTGTGAGTTTGCGTCTCATTATTTTCACACTCTTATTTTCCTCAATGGTTTTGATGATTTTCTCATCTTTGTATTTTCTTAGGTCTTTTCTGATTTCTCTTGATACTTCCTTGTTCATTCTATTTATATCGTCGTTACTAGAGTTTTCGTCGCTTCTTAGTATTCTTCTTTGTTCCATTTTTTTCTGTGTTTCCAGACTAATTTTTTCCTTCGCGCTTTTTGGGCAACATTTCTTTTGAGCTTCTGTTATTGCTCTACTGTGCTTATGTCATTTAGGATGTTAATATCATTTGTTGATGATTTTTCTTGAAGGAATTTACCGATCTGATCTTCAAACTTTTGTTCGTTGTTTGGATGTGTCCATATATTTATTTGCTTCTTTTTTATCATATTGTGTCATTCATAGTTGGTATTTAACACAATGGTGGCTCTCACCATACGATGGTCGCTTGATTTCGCAAATTTATTTAGCACTGTCACATCTGTAAATATGTATTTTTTATCAGTGATAAAGTAATCGATTTCGTTTGTCGTCTTTCCATCTGGGCTTTTCCACGTCCATCTGCGGTGAGGTTTCTTGTAGTAGTAACTGTTCATTGAGGAATAGGTTTTTCTCTTGTAGTAAGTTTAAATGTAGTCGCGAGTGTCGCCACGGTCGTTCCGTCCCTGACTCTTCCAAGAGCAGTTTCTGCTAGATCCATTTTTGTTCCTATTTTGGCGTTAAAGTAAAGTGCGGTTGTTTGTGGTCAATTTACCAACCATGGTAAACTACAATATATACTGTGGTCAAATTTTCCGTTTGATTTTTATTCTATTAGAACGTTCAAAAATGAACCAAAACATTAACTTTTCGTCCACTAATTGTAGGATTTTTTTTTATTTAAAGACAAAGTCGGATCCATCTAATGGTTAGTAGCGACAGATCTGTGCAATTTTACGAGAATAGGTATATTACATGGTTACAAAAAAGATTTTTTTCCTACAAAATAGTACTAAAAAAAAGTCAGCAATTTTATACAAAAAAAATTAAATCTTATGGAACACATCGATAGCTTTTAAATAATCTATTAAGTTCTTTGAATAACTATTTTGACCTAACACAATTGCAGCGCTCGCATATTGGTGGGTTATATTTTGAAAAAAGATAAGAGTGTGTGAGTCTAGTATGGTCTAATCGTAATCTGTAACTGTGTCTTTAATTTGTCGTAGTTTAGACGTTGATATTTGCCATCCGTTAATAAACTTAATTGCTCGATAAAGAGCGAATAATTCGGCTGTATTATATACTACAGTGGGGAGATAGTTGAAATAGCTATTTACTTGAATTGATCACAAAAGCGGCACCAACTCCATTGCTAGATTTTGAAGCATCTGTAAATATTTTGGACGACATTTTCATAAAATTGTAGGAATTGTTTAAATTTTTCATAGAAAAGTTTGCAATAATCGGACTTAACGAACTTCATTGTCACTCTATCATTCTGTCAGTAAAATCTAAAATTCCAAAAACAATAGGGTTTAAGGATAATTCTATGATATAGGATAGGTCTACAATAATTTCAACTTTACAGTTTTATAAAAACTTTTTTATTTAAATGTATTCAATACATAGATAACTGTTGGTTCTTATACATAAAATTACTACACAAATCAATCTTTGGACTTGAACCGGCCAAACACAATATTTTGGAAGGTTCTTCTTGATATACTGCGCTATATATAGTAACTGACGATACAGGTATTTCAGCAACTATTTCTCCCCCAAAAGACATTTGAATGAAAAGCTTGGATCTTCCGCCAGCTAGAATTTTTTCCTTGTGAATATCAGCCACATGAATACCTCTGTCATCTATTGGAAAGACAGTTGAGTTTGATAAAAAACGGTAGTGCCACAATGACAACCTAGGACCACCTCCACATAACTAAAATTGAGACAATTTATTAATCAGTTTTGAATGAATGAAGTGAACAAATATATATTAACTATCAACTATTTTGCAGAAGCTATGTAATGAATACCAAATTTTACTTAGATACTTGTATGTTTATTTTGGCATATACTTTCAAAATTATAAGCACTAAGTACACAGATATGAGATGGACAAAAGTTAAGACAAAGACAAAGTTAATAAAACATTGTTTTGTTTTCTTTGAAGTTTTAGTAGAAAGGCTAAATAACAATAACTTACCACATAATCTTCATTGGCACTGACAGATCCAATCCATTTTCCTAATTCTGGTCTTGCTACTTTATCATTTTTGTGGGGCTCTATTGAGTGTGCTACCTTATAGGTTTTAGTATCCCATATGTTTACAACACCATCCTCAGCGCCAGAAATGAAATCAGAGCCTCTGCAAACATAATACAAAACCTGTTAATTACAGTTCATTTCTTAGTTTCAGCTATGTGATGGCAACTTAATTAGAAATTCAATGCAAATTAAAACTAGTGGGAAGACAAAATCAAGATTCCAGCACAGTATATCTTCATATGCTAACACATAAATCTATGATTTAAATGAAATGTGTCGCAGCAAAGGACATTGGCAGAACAAAAGTAAATTGAAATAACACTTATCACAAAGGCACAAAAACATCATACACGCAGTGTAGTAGAGAAAACAACATTACCGTGGTATCTAGGGGGAAGAAGACATATGGACACAGGTGAACAATTGGATAAACAGGTTGCTAATTTAAGAACCTCTTTTCAAACGCAAACTGAGACATCTATTTTACATCATGCAATTTGCAAAGTACATGACACAACACTGCTTAAGCTGAGGGAACAAGAAATGCTCGTAAACCCCCTCTCTCGAGAAAAAATGTGCACCTGAATGAGTAAACCTCTGCATGGGCGACATCTCAATGAGAGGAACTAAAAATATGTTGACAATACAGTGTCAAACTATTGATTAACATCAGGAAAGATGTTTCCTAAGACAGAGGGTCTTCTGTTCGCCATTTAGAATTAGGTTGTCAAGCCCAAGAAACAATCCAACATCTTACCGGGGCTGCCAGGTGTTTTTTGGTACTTACTAACTGCGTGTCAATAACATGCTTTTTATTTCAAATGTAGCATACCATTGTGAGTGTATCGTGTGAAAACTAGTAGCCAAAAAACTGCTAGAAATTTCACTTCTAAAAGGAAGACTCAATTAAAACTGTAAATGATCTAGTAAATGTTGTAACTTGTCTACACCAACCAATTACAAACTTCAATTCCATTACCTACTTGAGTAATTCAAAGGCATCATAATAATATGGTACTATCAAATAAACAAAAAAAATTCCCTCAATATTTTTAACAACCAAATGTATGCAAGTAGGTAGTAGTATGTTAGTATTTGAACAAGAATATCAAGGTACTTGTATCATACATACTAAAATAAAAGATTTAGCTTCTATCAACCTCACAGAAAGATGACAATATAGAGCCATCCAGAAATTCAATTATAATAAATTTAAAATAAACAACATTAATACTTACATGTTTGATATACAATGAATGTAGTCTGTATGATTTGTAAGAGTCTTTAATAACTTTCCATAATTCAAATCATAGACATATATATTATTATCACCACAGCCCACAAATATATGATTCTTCTCTGCATATAACTTGATTACATTGACATCTGCACTTTCAAATGTATCTTTCTGGTTTGGGAGATCAATAGTCCAATCAGGTTGAGGATTTGTGTTTTTGATTGACTTCCAACTATAGGCTAATATTTCCCCAACAATTCCAACAAGTAAATGGGATTGTGTAGTAAGTAAGCTATTTATTTGATTGAAACCATTTTTAACTTGAATTTTATAGCGTGGTGTTAGGTCTTCTTTGCTCAAAGCTGCTTCAGGATTTGTAATTTTCGATAAACTTAAATAGAAATAACAGTGTTATAATGGATTGTATCTACCTATGTATGTAAGTTAAATTAAATCACAAACAATTGTATTAATAATTCTAGAACATGTTCATCACTAGTGACAAATCGCCAAATATTTAGGTGGTTATAGCAGATATCAATAGATTCTGCTTCAGTTAGTTTTGCTTAATTCAGTTCAATGTTATTCTTATGCATTTTTTATTAAAAAGCAGTTCATAGCAGCTAATATGAGACGGCAAGGAATGAGAGTAATGTGTTTTCTTACGAAAACAAAAAATAACAGAATTAACTTTAATAAAAGAAGTAAATTAAATAAATGAATTTTATACTTACTGGAATATTGACAAAGAACCATATATATCTCCTGCAACAAGGTAGTTTTCACATGGGCTAATTGCTTGTGATAAAACTGTATTATAATAGTCTTTAGTTAACATTTTTCAGTTTGCTAATTTTATTTAATTTAAAAAATGAAACTGATAAAACCATCAATAAACAAAAATATGCATAACCTCAAACCGGTGACCTATTCACGTATAAATCCAAGTATAAATACAGTTGTCTTGTTGTCATCACCGACATCCACGTCTATACGTGATAAATCGTTGAGCTTCTTCTTCTTCGTTTAGTTTCTTGGCCTCCACCTCTTAGGTACTTGGCCAGTTCTCGTGTTTGAGCTATATATTGGAGATCGATTTTTCTGTTTTCCCTTCGTGATTCTAAGTTAATACTTTAAATATTTTGTCGTGTTCTGTCCTTCAAATCATAATCATTATCTCGTGCTCGTATCCAAAGCCGGTAATTTATTTTTTTAATAATTGTGAAAATATTACGAACGTTATATACATTTAATAGTAGATATCTAATTAAAAAATTTACAGAAGGCCAGACAAATTGGAAGGTCCCGATGTGCCATCTCCACGATCCGACTTACCTATCTACAGGTTGGTAATTTGTATTGAGAAAATTAAGGTCGATTCAAACACATCAGTCCCGTCACAGTCCCGCGCCGAACCGGTCCCGTCTGGTCACAGAACTATTCGTTTGTCTATTCGCACACACCCGAAATGCATCAGTCTTCGACGACCAATCTGTTGAAAAGATAGAAAGTTATATAATAGAGTTGAAAGTATTAAGGTTTGAAGTTTTATTTACGGTAACAGTATAATTTTAAAGCTATGTAGCAGTATAAATAAACTAAAATGCTTATGGCGGCCACTCCTCCCCCTTTTACCCCTAATGTCTGAAAATTTAAATTACAATTCTGTCGTAGCTTGCCACAAATTTCCCAATCCGAGTCTATGTTTCCGTTTAAAATATGGCGATCACGTGCTGACACACTTCAAAGGCGACATCTGAGAGTGGGCATTCAGTTTGTTATTTATTCTGTGCTATTGTCGAGTTTGACAAGATTTTATACAAATACCAAGTTGAAATTGTTTCCCCATCTAAAATTATATATTTTTCTTAAGCCAAAAATTGGAAAAAATTAAAATAAGTAAATAGTCAATAATGAATATGCAGGTATACGTTTTATTAAAAATAAACATTTTATGGTAATAAAACAAAGATATACAGTATAGAAGTACTCAGACTGTCAATACTATTACAAATATATTGTATTACTTGTAGAGTTCTTCACTTGTCAGATTGGAGATAAAAAGACCACTTGACAGTCTCTTTTTGTTTGTCGACTTCTTTATTCTTACGAGTAACAGTCAATTTACCTGTAACGGGATAAGTCACATCTAACTCACTCTTGTTATTAGGGTAAGTAACTATAATTTTTGTTGATTGCCTTGCTCTAACTTCTTCTGATTCCAATTTTGCATGAAAAATTTTATTATCAATATCATAGTAAAAAGTTTCTGAATGAGTAAAAGGATTGAAAAAACTGATGGGTGTAGATGATCCTCGTTTTATTATAAAAGGTCCTTTTGGAGTGGGCAGGGTGCATTTTCCATATAAAGGAAATCTAAAAGTAAGAAAAATTAATATTTAAAATATAATAAGCTTAATAAATGTGAGGTGACTTTTGTTAATTATTAGAATATACTTAACAAATTATTCTACCGACAGTTGGTAACTCGCACTCGAGATTACGTAACTATTCTTAAGTTTTGTCTGTGCCCTAGGTCAGATGGTGCAAATTCGCAACACAGACGATGATCATTTACACTTTTTCTACAATCACTTTCACATCTACAATCACATATGTAGGTATGTTGATTTGAGAATTATTTTCACTATAGGTCCTTTCTCTACTATCTTCATCTTTACCGTTGAATCCCTAAGATTCTCAAAGATGTATTAACGGAAGTGTTTTAATATGTCGTTTGACTATCTTGTAGGTCCTCAGAATATCAGCAGATTAGCTATATATAATTTCTACCAATTTCTGATAACTCTTTTATTTTGGCCTTAAAAATCCACGGCTCTTATGTCAAAGCTACATATATATTTCTTATATTAACAGTAATTTTTTAATGAAGCTACCTTACTACGATGAAGGTTTAGAAGAATACCTTTCTAAGTCTGCAATACGCCTTGAAATAAGCAGCCCTCAATGCTTTGTAGGAGTGCTCCTTGATTGTATAAACTAGGATTTGTGCGTCCTCTCCGATCTACCGATCTTTTAACAACCAATTCGTCTAAAGGTCTTTTTTTTCCCATTTTTTTCTTAGATAGGATCAGATAATTAATATATCAGCCCCTTTCTCGTTAACGTATGTGAAGACCAAGGAGTGCTTTCTGCTCCCTCTCATAGGCCCCCTATAGTCCATAACATATTAGTAGTTCATTTTTGTTGTATACTTAATGTATACTTTTATATATATATATATATATATATATATATATATATATATATAATATATATATATATATTTTTTATATATATTTTAACTAATCGTTACTTAATGAAACTGAAGAAGTTAATTCTGTTTGTTCCAGTTTGTTGATGATCAGGTCTGTTTGAGCCTATTAGTCAACAGGATATTATTGTTTATTGTATATTACATTATTCTGTTGAGCGTTATTCAACAGGATAATGTCTATGTGCCACCGCCATCCTGAATATGTTTGTGATATTGTTATATGACCTAGTCCTCCCGTAAGAATTCCTTTATTTCTTAGGACTCAATGCGGGAGGGTAAAGCTTCTCGAGAAATGTCCTTTTATCCTTGGTTTTTACTAGTATTTACATATTGGTTTTATGTAGATTTGTAACATTTTTTTATAATTAATATATTAAATTATTTTTAATTCCTTTTAACCCCGTGATGATACGCTGATGGTCGTGTTTACGATCAGAAATTTTTATTGGGAAAATACCGAAATATGACTGGAGAATCTATCTACCTATTTTTTTCATAAAAACGGTAATTGTCGTCGAACGCCCGTTGTAATGTTTTTCGGGAAAAACCTAATCTAGAAGATTTGTATTTTATCACGTCCAATTACTATTACCGTAAATGCCTCAAACTTTTCGATGTCGTTAGAATCTTACCTTCTTAGAAATAGATACAGGCTGGCCATACGATTTTTAAGAGGGAGATATCATTTCTTCTTTTTTTGATTTAAGTTTGGTAAAATTTTAGAAGAACCTTTTTTACTTCTCGGTGGGCCGATGTTAATTAAAGTCAGTGTTGGATACAAGTGTAAGTAATCATTATCTTCAAATTATCTGGGCGAGTAATATGGTATGGTATCATATCATCTGCCATTATCTGGACGTATGTAAAGTTCCTCCATGTCTTCACCTGTACATTGCTGATTTTTGCATTCAATTTAAAGAACATCTCAATAGATTCAAGAAATCTCAATAAGTAATAATTATGAACATTTAAGTCCCAGTTTCTCATTAAATAATAGTGCGAGATAGTTAATCCACTTAACCAAGTGCGGTTTCGTTAAATTCTTATGTTTTCATTTCTGTAACCTTTTTGTATTTTTGTAAATTTAGAATTGATTAATTTTTGTTATCTTTTGTGTTGGGTTTTTTATTTTTCCAACTTTTATTCATTTTTTTTGCTGTAATATCTTAAGATACGCCAAAACTTTATTTATACATGATTGTATTATATATCTTTGTAAAGGTATTTTCTAATTATATTACTGCTTTTTTTGTATGTATACCACCATTTTATAGTTCTTGGTGTACTTTTATTACTTGTGTTGCATTCACCAGCGTCATAATTTTGTTGTTGAGTATATTGTTATTGTTTTATGTATGTATTTTATTTGTCGGCTCCTAACAAGTTCCCTGGTAAAATAGTAACTCTGAGTATTTGCTTTTTACCTTTAAATATTACTATACCTTTGACCAGTAGAAAGATCAGTGTTAAGTATTTGAATATTGTTATATTTACAACCGGCAACGCTGGCAACATTGGTTCTGCTTCTGCCCACAGCAGCCGCTATTTATGACAGCCGACGACTCGCAGAAAGAAAAAGAAGAAGAAAAAAGACTCGTATCTAACCTAATTCACATCACCACGCCACGCATACTATATATTGTTTTGAATCTTTTCTTCAGTTTTTCGTTGCATTATAATAAATAAATTTAGTAAAGTGTAGTTATTCATTCCAAAATTAATAGGCCTTAGGTGGCAACAAACATAAATCTGGTCCTTCAGAAGCCGGAATAAACAGCAGTAAACACGATTTATAGTTCAACACGAGACACGAGGTCAAATCTAATGGCACCGCTAATTAAAGTAAGTGCGTAATCCTATCTCATATATATCCTAAAAACTTGAAAACAGACTCTTTTGTGGTTGAATGGGTTGTCGCTTATCGTTTTGTTGAAATTTAATACTTTTATGCTTATACACGATAATACTATTTAACTAAATATATGCTTTAAGGGATATGGGATATATTTAAAATAAAAACTTATTTTTAAAGTCTTTACATTTTCAATACTACACATTTTATAGTACAGGAAAATTTGGAATCTTATATTAAATACTTAGAATACTTACTTATTTGGAATTTTTATTAATCTCTTTTGGTAACAATTGAATATTCGTTTATTAATTTGTTTTACTAAAAAATTTAGTTGTTTTATAATGGCAGAAAACATATCGTTAGAATCTTTGAAAAATACTAGAAAAGGTTTAAAAAGTTCATTAACTAGGTTCGAAAATTACATTAAAACAAAGATAGATAATCAAAGCTCTCCTGACTTGGCTGATTTAGAATCTCGCTTCGAAAATATATCAACGCTACTTGAAAGATTTGATGATACGCAATCAATGATTGAAGCCTTGACTAGCAAGGATGAATTTATTGTAGATAATGATGAAAGAGCTGCATTTGAGGACTCATTTTACACTATTACAAGTAAAGCTAAAAAACTTCTTTCACACACTTCTAAGATCTCAAATCCGCAGGCTCCTCAGTCAGCTCAACCTTTTAGCTACATAAAGCTTCCAGATATCAATCTTCCATCATTCTCCGGGCCCTATAAAGATTGGATTTTCTTCAAAGAAACCTTTATTTCTGTAATTGATCAACATCCTCATATGCCACAATCACAAAAGCTAAACTACCTCAGAATGTCATTAAAAGGCGAACCTCTTCATTTAATTGATACTCTTGAAATATCTGATGCAAACTATGAAATCGCTTGGACCATATTAAATGACAAATATGAGAATATCGAAAAACTTATAAACAATCAGATTAAGGAACTTTTCAATCTTCCTGTTATTAATAAAGAAACTCACTCATCCTTAAGTCAACTCTTTGATAACACAAGTAGAATTTTAAAAGCTCTCAAAGCCCTAAACGAACCTGTCCAACATTGGGACTCTATCTTAGTATATTTAATAACCACAAAATTAAACTCTAGTGCTAAACATGCTTGGGAATCAAAAAAGACCAAACGTGAGAGGCCTAATCTTAAAAAATTATTGAGTTTTCTGGAAGACAGGTGTGACATGTTTGAATCTATTGAGGAGGATAAGCCTTCCTCCACGAACCATCAACAAAGGTCTTCAAGCTCTAAATCACTTGTGACATCTAACAATAATCCTACACAATCTTATAAACTCAAATGTACAGTCTGTGATGAAGAACACAGTGTATATAATTGCAACAAATTCCTTAAACTAAACACTAATAGTAGATACAATGAAGCGAAACGCTTAAAGCTTTGTCTGAATTGCCTGAGAAAGGGACATGGTGTGCAACAATGTCATGCCAGTAAATGTAGAAAATGTTCCAAGCCCCACAACACTCTTTTACATATCGAATCGCAATCTAGAGCAAACTCTGTAGGTCAATTGGAAAATTCATCCACAACCACGGTTGAGGAAAATGCTGTTGGAACTTCTACCTCTAAATCTCATTGCTCGATATTCCCTAACACTTGTACCTTGCTGTCAACTGCCTTAGTAAATATTCTCGATAGCAGTGGTCAAACGCAAACCTGTAGAATTCTTTTAGATAATGGCTCTCAATGTAATTTCATAACCAACAAACTTTGTGATAAACTAAACCTTCCGAAAACCAAAATACAAGCCATAATTTCTGGTATTGGTGATTCTTCTTCTAAGGTGACCTCAAGGACGAAGGTCATAATTCAGTCCAGATTAAACCTTTACTCAATTAACTTAAATTGTCTTGTGGTCGAAACTATTACTGGCTTAGTACCTTGTAAAACTTTTAATAAAAATCAATTAAATGTTCCACCCAATCTAATTTTGGCTGATCCCAGCTTTGATGTTAGTGCTCCGATAGACATATTGGTTGGAGCAGATACTTTTTGGGACTTATTATGTATAGGGCAACATAAGTTAGGTCCAAATGCACCAGTCTTACAAAAGACTCAATTAGGTTGGATAGCTTCAGGTCCACTTAATCTAAATAGCAAGTCCAATGAAAAATCTCTTTGTTATTTTAATACTATTGACTTAAATCAACAGCTGGAAAAATTCTGGCAATTAGAAAGTGTAAAGGAAACTCCTCACCTTTCAAAGGAGGAAATATTTTGTGAACAGCATTTTCAAACAAATACTTGTCGGGACAATACTGGTAGGTTTGAGGTAACAATTCCTTTTAAATTAGATACTTCAAAGCTCGGAGATTCCTTTCAAATTGCAAGGAACAGATTCTACTCTATGGAAAGAAAAATGCTGAAAAACGATCCTCTTAAAACTCAATACACTGAATTCATTTCAGAATACTTAGAACTAGGTCATATGACTAAACAAGAATCTATGGACGACTATAGCGGGTTTTTCTTACCCCATCACGCTGTTTTCAAACCCTCCAGCACTAGTACAAAACTTCGTGTAGTCTTCGATGGCTCAGCTAAATCTACCTCTGGCTTATCTGTGAATGATCTCATGATGGTTGGCCCCAATATCCAAGATGATTTATTCTCTATAGCAATTCGTTTTCGAAAACACAATATTGTCATTTCAGCAGATATAGCCAAAATGTATCGGCAAATACTTGTAACCAAGGAACAACGACAATTCCAAAAAATACTCTGGCGATTTGATCCAACTGAGCCGTTGTCAATCTTTGAACTAAACACTGTAACTTATGGCTTAGCATCTAGTGCATTCTTAGCAACAAGATGTCTACGAAAAATAGCTGATGATATTAAGCAATCTAATCCCAAACTTAGCTTCATAATAGAACACGATTTCTATGTTGACGACCTTCTTTCTGGTGCAGACAGCCTAGAAGAAGTCTTAGATATCAAAAATTCTTTGATACAATTATTCAAATCTTATGGTATGGATATTCGAAAATTGAACTCTAATAATTTGATGCTTATTGGTGATACTGATCAATTAGAAACTATTGAAATAGGAAACTCTGAAACTAGTAAAACTCTTGGACTTAATTGGAATCCTAAGTCAGATATCTTATCATATTCAGTTATTCAACCCTCGTTAGTCACTGTTAGTAAAAGATCTATTCTCAGTTCTATCTCTCAGCTTTTTGACCCACTAGGTTTATTATCTCCATTAACTATAAACGCAAAGATCCTTATCCAACAACTTTGGCAATTACATGTATCATGGGACGAATCTGTGCCAGCATCAATTCACACGAAATGGTCCACATTTCAAAGAGACTTAAAGCTAATAACTGAACTTAGAATACCTAGACTTGTTTTGATCAATGATAGAAAGGCCGTAGAATTGATAGGATTTGCAGATGCTTCCGAATCAGCCTATAGCTGCTGTGTTTATCTTCGCTCCACAGATTCCTCTGGTAATTCTCAGTGTCACTTGATGTGTGCAAAAACTCGTGTAGCTCCTTTAAAAATGGTTACCATTCCAAGATTAGAACTGTGTTCAGCCTTACTTTTGGCTGAATTAATGGACAAGGTAAAATCTTCTCTACACTTACATGTAGACAAAATCTTTTATTTTTCTGATTCTACTATAACACTATCTTGGATTAATACTTCTCCTCACCTATTAAAGGTGTTTGTAGCAAACAGAGTGGCACAGATTCAATCTTTAACTAAAACTACCAATTGGAGATATATAAATACAAAAGAAAATCCTGCTGATTTACTAACCCGTGGAATTTCCACACTTGAGCTGATAAATTCCGATATTTGGTGGAATGGCCCCAAATGTCTGAGCAGCTTCGATTATGAATCTAATGAAACCTTTGTACCTTCATCGTATGAGAATCTCCCAGAAACAAAACCCAAGGTTTTAATGACCACCTTATCTCCTGTGACAGAATTTCTAGAAATTGCTAAACTAAATGATTACTCCACACTTAGAAAACTTCAAAGAGTGTTTGCTTATGTACTACGTTTTATTCGTTTTTGTCGTACCAGTTCTTCCGATAGAGACTTAGGTCCCTTGACATGCGAAGAATTGGGAAATTCCTTAAAACAATTAACTCGCATTTGTCAACATGAATCATTCCTCCTAGAAATTAAATCATTAAAGGTGAACAAATTGAATCCTTCTAATGGCTTGTTTTCTTTAAACCCCTTTATAGATGATTCAGGTATCCTAAGAGTTGGAGGACGCTTGGGTAAATCCCATTTTAACTATGATAAAAAACATCCAGCTATTCTTCCTAAAAACCATCATCTCACTAAACTCTATGCCGAATCTAAACATATTGCTCTTCTTCATGCTGGACCTCAACTCACATTATCAGCAATTCGTGAAGAATTCTGGCCTATAAATGGTCGAAATTTAGTAAAACAAATCGTTCATAATTGTATTCGATGCTTTCGTTTTAATGCTAAAACTGTTAAGTACCTGATGTCAGATCTACCAATTGATCGAACGCGACCTTCTCGACCCTTTTCGATATGCGGTACTGATTATGCAGGCCCATTTAAGTTACGCGATAGAAAAACTCGCAATTATAAGGTCCAAAAATGCTACATATGCCTATTTGTTTGTTTTAGTACTAAAGCTGTACACTTAGAATTGGTTAGTGACCTTACTACAGAATGTTTCATAGCCTCACTTCGTCGCTTTACAGCGCGACGTGGTATTTGTCGAAAATTATTTTCGGATCACGGTACTAATTTTATGGGTGCAAAAAATGAATTAAGGAAATTCTTTGAAATCAATTCAGGCGAGATTCAGACTAGACTTGGTCAGGAAAGCATTGATTGGCGGTTTATTCCACCTAATTCTCCGCACTTTGGCGGACTTTGGGAAGCCGGTGTTAAATCGGCTAAGCATCATTTGCGCCGTAGCATCGGCGAAAATATTTTAACATTCGAAGAGTTTTCAACCCTTTTAACTCAAATAGAGTCCTGTTTAAATTCCCGACCAATTTCTCCCCTATCTGATGACCCTAATGATCCTAGTCCTCTGACACCTGCGCACTTTTTGATAGGAGAGCCACTTTTCTCTATACCAGACCACAATTGGCTTGATGTTAATGAAAATCGTCTCAACCAGTATCAGCTTATCCAACAAAGACTTCAATTATTTTGGAAGAGATGGTCATCCGAATACATTTCACAGCTACAATCTCGAAACAAATGGAAGAAATCAGAGCCCCAAGTATTGACTTCGGGTACACTTGTACTAATCAAGGAGGATGGGCTTCCTCCTCTCAAATGGTCTTTAGGTCGTGTGCAAACGACCTTTCCCGGAAGTGATGGTGTCATCCGTAGTGCAATGGTGAGAACTGCAACTGGAGTGATTCATCGTCCAGTAGTTAAATTGTGTGTGTTGCCTTGTGCTTAAAGGCATATCAGCCTTCAAGGGAGGCGGCTAATCAGGCTGATTATGTTTCGTAGGTAAGTAATATATTTATTATTTGTTTATATAATGTGTTGACCAAATTTATTTGATAATTAACTGTTGGTATCTTTCCTTGGGTTTGATCTCTGAACCTAAATATCTTTCCTTATCTCTTTTCTTTTCTAAGGTTTCTTAATTTTCTCCTTAACCCAAAAAATTGAGTGGCCCCTGTTTCTATCTTATCGTATCTTTGGTAATTTTACCCATCTATCTTTTTGTTTATTTCTGTATCTTTTCTAATATCTCTTATCCTATATTTACTTATTTCATACGTTGGACCCATTTTCGGTTCCAAAAGCTAGTTTCGAACCCACGACTCGCTCTCCACCAACCATCTGGCTGCCGTCCGCAGTATCTCCATTGGTGACCTTTCTAGCACCATCCAAAAAAGGTTTCCGAGGTTACAGATTTATAGTGTTTCATGTCTCAGCAGCCATTTTTTCCTCTTTCATCATCCTCTTTGGTTTAGCTTAAGAGAGATTGCTTTTATAACTGGCTCAGAATACATTTCTTTTAGAATATCTTCTGGCTCAGTATTTGGAGTGAAGACAGATCTGAGACTAGAGTCCCGTTGTGTTTATATTTATAAACTATGAGAATTACTTCCATTTCTGCACTCCCTTCTGAGCATTTTGGTTTTATTTAATCTCGCTAGATACTAAGCGTAATGCGCTCTTACTACTCTAAAGCTAAATCCCAGAGTTCGCCAGCTCTTTGGGGCATCACTTAAGGTATTACTTTTTTCCTTGTACCTTGCCTTCCCTGGGCACGATATTGTTAAACCTCGGAATTGAAGAACGCAGTAGTTGCAGGACAAAACTGATCATATGATGAGCCAGTTGTGGTGCAGTTTTCTGAGATTTGCCCACTGATTTCTAATTCGTATTGGTATTTACAATAACATTAATAGCAAAATGGAAGAAGTTAAACAAAAAAAACAAAGATGCTTCAACTCAAGAAGTAATCAACAAGAATGTAAAGAAAATACATTAAGAAACTACGATGGTTGAACAAAGAACTAAAAACATCGATAAAATAGAAACATAATGCTTTTCTAGAACTCTTACAGCAAAGCACAAGAAATTAAAGATATATACCAATAGAGAACCAAATGAAAACCAATAGAGAAACTAGTATAAAGCACTCTGGCAAAAACAAGAAGCGGTGCGAAGAAAACACATAGATTTATACAACAATAGCGAAGACGATAAAATAACAATGAATGAATTTTAAACCACACCTAAAAATACGAAAACTAGAAAAGTTGCAGGAATAGACAGGATGAATACAGAATGAATTAAATATGTTGGTACTTAGGGTATTTTGGAATTTTGCCACTTACGACTTGTCTACCTTTTTAATATAAGAAGAAATAAGAAATTTAATAATCATAATACCCTTGTAAAGACGGAACAGGCAAAGTTCTGTAGTAGAGGCCGAAATGTGCTGTCAGTTGTCTGACTATTATATGACATCCCTGTATTAACTCAAACAAATCTTTAACCGTTTCATGAAAGGCTAGAATTTACCTTTTGAGAACCTCTGTGCTATATCGGTAAATAATGTATATTCATAATATAAAAGATAGTAGAATATATCTTACATATAAGCTCCAGAAACAGAAGATGTTAAAGTAAGTTCACTTTCAGTTACACCCAAACTGCTCGGTTCAAATTTAATTCGAATGGTACCAGTTTCTCCTGGTAAAATTGTAGTGGTTCGTTCCATTGAAAATTCAGCATGTGCAAACTAAAAAATAAACAAAATTATTATTAATTTAAATACACTATACAAAATATAATTTATAAAAATATATAAGGATAATTGGAAAAATGTGGGGAAAGGGGAGGGAGTTTTTTCGACTCATTTATCGAAGTCATTTATATTTCTTACAATTTTTATTTTCTTATGGTAAATTTTCAATAATATCCGCAGTGGTGGTGTTTATGGACCTGATCTAATTGTACTTCCTTAGTTGTTATTTTTAGTGTTCATCATCATCATCCAGCTTCAAGAGTCCACTGCTGAACATAGGCCTCTTCCTCATGTTTCCAACCCCGTCTATCTTGCGCCGCTCGTATCCAGTTTTTATTAAGTCTTCTTAAATCGTCAGTCCATCTTGTAGGTGGTCGACGGACACTTCTCTTGTCTTCCCTTAGCCTCCATTCCAGTAACCTCTTTGTCCATCGCCCATCTGTCATTCTGGCTGTGTCCTGCCCATCTCCATTTTAGTCTGGCTATCTTCGCGATGATGTCAGTCACTCCGGTTCTTCTCCTGATGTCTTCGTTGGTTATTCTGTCTCGCAGAGTTATTCCTAACATGGACCGCTCCATTCTTCTCTGCGTGACTCTCAGTTTGGTAGCTGCTACTTTTGTTAAGGTAAGTGTTTCTGCTCCGTACGTCAAGACTGGGAGGACGCACTGATCAAATACCTTTCTCTTTAGGCATGTGGCAGCTCATTTTTAAAAGTTTCTCTCAGTTTTCCAAATGCTGCCCACCCAAGGTCGATTCTTCTCTTTAGTTTATGAGTCTGGTTATCCCTGCCAATCATAATTTCATGTCCCTGGTCATGATTTTTGTTTTCGAGTTATTTATATTTAAACCTACATTTTCTGTAGCCCCAACGAGTTCCTGTACCATCTTTCTTGCTATACCTAGATCTTCAGCTATTATAAGTATATCATCGGCGAAACGTAAGTTGTTTAGATATTCTTCATTTATTTTTATTCCCTTTGTCATCCAATCCAAATTTTTAAAAGCATGTTCTAGCACCGTATTAAAAAGTTTAGGTGACATTGGGTCTCCTTGCCTAACCCCCGTTCTATTTTTATGCGATTACTGTTAATAGTATGTAATATGACAGTGGTTGTTGCCTGCAGGTATATTTTGTATAATAATTTAATATATCTATAATCTAGCCTGCATTCTTTAAGCGCCTGTAATATTTTGCTTAGCTGATAATCGATAAATATTAGAACTAGAGGTTTATTGTATTCCATTGCTTTATTAGGGTTTTTATACTTTGTAGATGGTCATTTGTTCCGTAACTTTTTCGGAATCCTGCCTGTTCCTGGTTGATAAGTCTCTAATTTTCTTTCCATTCTCTTAACTAGTATTCGCGTAAACAACTTATATATATGGCTGAGGAGGCTAATCGGTCTGTAATTCTCTAAATTTGCTTTGTCTCCTGCTTTGTGTAATAGAATCATAGTAGCGTTGTTCCAGTCTGTTGGAATATTGGCGCCGTGAAAGCAGATATTGAAAAGTTGTTTAATTTTTTCAAGTAATACATCCCCTCCAATTTTTAGTGCTTCTGATACTATTCCATCTTCCCCGGGGTTTAATTATTTTTCATTTGTTTCAGTGCTTCTTTGATTTCTGTTTTTGTTATATCGGGCATTAAATCTGATCCTTGGTTTAATACCCAGTTTTTAGTGTAATTGTTATCTTTTTTCTTGATCTATATAACTCTGTGTAGAACTCTTCGACTATTCTTAACATTTCATCTCTGTTCGTTGTTTCTTCTCCAGTTCTGTTTCTCAGTTTGTTCATTTCTATTTTCCCCTTTTGTACGCTCCTCTTCAAAACTTTCATGTTCTTATTTTGCTCTATTGCCTGTTTGGTTTTTGTACATTATAGTTTCTTATGTATTTTCTTATTGCCTTTGTGATAGTCTTATTTAAGTTATTTATTATGAATTTTAGAGTTATCATTAGTAAACAAAAGATGACTTAAATATTTTCCGTTGTTGCTGATTTTATATTGTCGTAGTCCATAGATTGAAAATGTATTCCAATATTGTCAAAGTCGGCACTTTGCTCTTTAAAAGGGGAAAGAAATCAGGTGATTGGGAAGCATATAAGGCTAAACTAAAAACCTATAGTAAGATAATCCTATCCGCTAAGAAAAGATCCAGGCGAAAATTATGTGAAATTATTGAAAGTGTACCTGACAATGCCATGGTTAACAGAATTCAAAAAAGAGATAACATTAATAAAACTAAGTTAGATAAATTGCCCAATATAAAGTATACACAGGCTGTATAACATTTTTTAAGTGTTCACTTTCCAGGGTCGACGCAATTCACCAGGAGTGACTTGGTGACCTCTAAGGGTCAAGTCACATGAGCCATTAAAATTTTTTTACTGTACAAAACCACGGAACTTGATAGATTTCTTAGGGTACTCCAAGAAGGGCTGGAAATAACTATGGGTCCCCTGATCGCAATATTTATAGCTAGCCATACTCTGGGATATATTCCCCACGCTCGACAAAAAGCAAGGGAGCGTTTATTTCTAAACCACGAAAAACAGATAACACCTTAGCAAAATCATACAAGCCTATAAGTATGAATTCATTCATGTTGAAAACCATGTTGAATAAATATATCAAGTAAAACAATCTTAATGAAAACCCACTGCATCAGTGGTAATAAGCTTTTTAAGCGTGAAAATCAGATGAAGCCACCTTGTACAACCTGGTGTCGAGACTTAAAGTTTACGCGACAAAGAAGTCGCCTTTATTTAGACATAGAAAGTGCATTTAATAATATCTCCTTCAAGTCAATACATAGTGAGGAAGAAAATCAACAACACAACATTTATGTGGATTATTCGAATGCTTTAGTGCAGAATAATACCCACAAATACGTAAGAAGGTGCCAGAAACCTGAAAACAAGTAAGAGGTGCCCTTAAGTGGGTTTATTATCACCAATATTATGAAATAGAGTTGTTGATGACCCAATTCATGGGTTAAGCAGCCAAGGAGTCTGGGTCCAGGGTTTTGCAGACAACATTGTAATAATGGCTAGGGGAAAATTTCTCAGCACTGCTGCGGATTAGATGCGATATGTCCTTCATTCCACAAAGAATTGGTGTCCGAAACTCTGGAAGAAACCTTCCAAAACTAAATTAGTAGCCTTTACTAATGAGAGGAAGCCTACTGGAATGAGCTAGCTGAAATTATTTCGGGATGATCTAGAAAGAACCAATGAGGTCAAGTATCTGGGGATATCTAGGGGTAAACCTGGATTCCAAACATAATTAAAGTAAGTATATTAACAATATAACTAACAGGGCTATGCAACTATTCTGGAACTGCAGACGAGTTGTAAGCAAAACCCAGGGGTTAAAGCCAAAATCAGTGATACAACCGAAAGTTACTTATGGTTCAGTAACTTGGTGGAAAAAGACGAAAAAAAAGACTATGGTTGTAAACTTAATGCAACAGCCAATAAAATAAATCTACATAAACATGCAACATGAACATCATATAAAAGCAAGACTTCATCCCTTAAATGATAGTGTAGCAATGTTGAAATTACAAACAACTCACAGAAAACTAAATATTATTCAGGTCTATGCTCCAACAAGTGACAAGTCAGACGAAGAAATCGAAAAATTTTATAACAACATAGATGAAATAATGCGACTGACAAAAAGAGGTGAGATAACGAGGGACTTTAATGCTAAAATTGGTCGTGGTGCTGAAGGAGACCACATAGGAGCATACGGTCTAGGTACCAGGAATAATAGAGGAGATAAACTTGTACAATTCTGCGTAGAGAACAATCTGTTAATACCCAATACCTTCTTAAACAACATCCTAGAAGGCTATACACATGGAAATCACCTGCAGACAGAAAAGACAGAATTGTTAGAAATCAAATTAAGTTCATTTTGCTCAATAGCACCTTTAAGAAGTACATAAAATCTACGAAAACATACCCTGGAGCTGATATACATAGCGATTACAATCCAGTTTTAATAGATTTTAGATTAAAAAGATTTCTCAAAGTAAAAAAAAACAGTGACAAGAAAAATAGACATCTCACAACTGAAGAACCCTGAAAAGAAAAAAGAAATAAGTATCAAGCTTCAGAAAGAAATAAAAACGATCGAAAACTTGGTACAGACAGACATTGAATTGACATGGACTGCTCTAAAAACAAAAATAACAAAGATACAAGAAGAAGACATCGGGTTCATAAAACACAACAAAAAACAAGAATGGATAACGCAAGAGATCATAGATTTTTAAACAACTTTTAAACTTTTGTTTTGTTGAATTATTTTAGTTCTTTTTCTTTTATTGTTTCTGGACCGTAAAAACGCTCACATAACAATATTTTTAAAAGAAACGAAAGACGATTATTAAATCGCTAAAGAAAGCATCATCACTAAAATTCTACTGTCCAAAATATGGGGTTCATTTCAATGAATTGTTCAGAAAACTTCTCTAATTGATCATAAAAAACTCATAAAACATAAGATACTTATCTGCTTGTTTTAGAAATGTGATATTGTTTGTTATCGTTAAAGAGAACAACACGAATACAAATATAATAGCACCCTTTTATTTATTATTGAATTTACCTGATCTGTCCATGGGCTAGAAAAATTAGTTTCTAGTTATATGATAAAATAATGTTTATTTACCGTTGCATTTAATTCTAAGGAAGTTGAAAACGTATTTTGAATCACAGCCTTCTCAAAACACCCAAAGCCAAGTTCCGCAACAAATTTTACGGGTTTTTCTTTTGGTGGTGGCCTTGCTATAAGTTTAAAGGGATAACTAATTGAGCCCAATTCATTACAATTCGCTTCTATAATGGGCGTACTGACACCAGGTTTCGTTGGAAGGTATAAAACTTCTAAATCAACCTACAATAAAATAATGGGAGTAATTATTCTTTTAAAATTAAAGTAAGGGTAATAAGAAAGTAATAATAGTAGAGAATATGTTTCCTACAGTCGTTTGCAAAGTAGCACGGTTTACCACGCAGTGTGAAAAACTAAAACTACTCAAAAATATTATATTTTGTACCTAGACCATAGACTACCTTGAACTATGTCGTATATCTAGTCAATGCTGCTATCTAACGGGCTCTCTGCAATATCTAATATTAAAAGGTATAGGTTAACCAGATACTCAAAGAATTTTAAAAACAATACTGACTATTACTATTCGATAAATTATGTTGTAAGGCAAGTATTTACCGAGGAAAAAGAATTAAGCCTTGTTGCGTATATAAAAAATATTACAAAAATGCAGTTTGGATTAACCAAAACAGGTGTGAGAATGTTAGTTCTCACACTTCTTCTAGTTAGTTGAGAGTAGTTAGTAGTGAGAATATCCGACACTTGGAATGAGGAAGATATTACAGGAGAAGAATGGATTAGAGGCTACATAAAAAGACACCACCAAAAATATCAATCTGCAAGCTAGAGGCTTGCGGACTTGCTTGCATGATTAGTTTAAACATAATGAATATTGGTCAATTTTTCAATAATGTAAAAGACATACAGATACAGAAAATATGATCCAATTTCACCAGATAAACTTTGGAAGCTTAATAAAATATGCTTAACCACAGTTGAAGGACAATCTAGAATAGTTGCGCCTAAAGGGAAGCGTGGAAGCAATTGGAGGAGGCCTATGTACAACAATGGATAAATGAAGGCTGAAGAAGAAGAAAGGTGTTAAACAAATAGATAGTGCTAGATCAGCAGAACATGAATGCTTAGTCATGGTTATTGCTGCGGTAAATGCAATCGGTAATTCATTACCTCCCATGATATGTTCACGGGTCCATTTTAAAGAAAGAATAATATTTCTTGGACCTTTAGGATGAATTGGCACAGCAAATCAATCGGGTTGGTCCAAAGGAGATTTCTTCTTGAAATTTTTGGACTATTTTATGAATGCCGTCAAAAGCTCAAAAGATGAGCGTTTACTATTAATACAGATAACCATGACACATCTCTCTCCAACGGTTCTTTACAAAGTATATGATTGCAACAAAGTAATAACCTTTGATACTTACAGCGCAGCTGAGGTTTTAGGTATGGCTTACCCAAAATCTTTTAGTTCTAACAATATCTTATCTGGCTTCCGTAAGTCCGGAATTTTTCTTTTAATGAGAAAATTTTTAGTGATAGTGGTGATTTAGGTTCTTACGTGACTGACAGGCCCTTAGACGATTTTAGCGCTGTCATTTCTATTTCGTTAGACAATGGTAATTTTACTTTTTCAGAAAACATGCCTTTGATTTCTTCACAACCTCTACATTCAACTTTCCCAACTCCGTTACATTTGACTTCTTTAGAGCTTGGTTCATGTTTTTCAGTTCCTAAATCTACTACGTCCTCATCTTCAAACTGTTTTGCAATACCAATGGCTAACAAGAAAAAAATGAATACATTCCCAAGAATGCAATCAAAAACAAAAATAAAAAAAAAAGAAAAGTTAAAGCAGGATATCAATAAAATAGAAAAAGTAACACAAAATCTATGGACATGTTTGAATTACCTTACTGAGAAAAGAGAGCATAGGAAGAAAAACAAACAAGAAAAGGTCTCAAGAACCGTCTATTGACCAATCTGATTCTGAAGAGTTATCCTTGGTATCAACGGATATTGATGACGGGGTTGATATAGAAAAATACTGTTGTTCTTCAAAATTTAGCGACAAGTGATGAAAGTGAACTTGCTGTGGTCGCTGGGTACATTTTTTATGTGCGGGTGTAAAAAAGGGTGCTATAAAGGGTCTTAAAAATAACAAAAGACCAGGCAACGATAACGTATTCGGGGAAGTATTGAAAATGCAGTGCGAAACAAACAGTCAATTTCTAGACTCACTCTGGCTAGACTGGCTAGAGTCAACTTTTGTGGCCATACCGAAAAAACCAAAAGCAAAGTCTTGTGATCAACATCGGATAATAAGTCTAATTAATCACATTTCGAAGTCATACACCAAAGTTATTTACAACAGAATAAGCAAAAAATGCGAGGATAACATTGGAGATTCGCAATTTGGGTTTCGAAATTCTCTTGGGACAAGAGAAGCAATTTTTAGTTTACAGGAACTCATCCAGCGCTGCAGAGATATGAACAAAGACGTGTACATATGCTTTATAGACTACTCAAAAGCATTCGATAACGTAAAGCACGAAAAGATAATTGAAGTTCTCCATAAGATCAAAGTCGACTACAGAGACATTCGAACAACAGCGAGTCTCTATTGGGGTCAAACAGCTAAAGTAAAAGTAGGATCTACATTGACCAATAAATTGAGATCAAGAAAGGGGTACGACAGGGCTGTATCTTGTCTCCTATTCTCTTTAATATATACTCAGAGGCAGTATTTAAGACAGCGCTGGAGGAAAGCACAGAAGGCATAAAGATAAATGGAGAAATAATTAATAACATAAGGTATGCTGATGACACTGTGATTCTAGCAAGTAGCATGAAGGAACTGAGTTGCCTAATGAGTAAGATACAAAAAACAAGTGCACAATACGGACTCAGACTAAATACCACAAAAACCAAATGAATGTTAGTAAGCAAAACCCAACAACCACAACAGCAACTGATATTAGACAATGAAAGAATTGAACACGTGGATTCGTAAATCTACTTGGGAACAACAGTTAACTTAAATTGGGATCAAGCGAAGGAAATACGTATAAGAGTGGAAAAGGCAAGAGCATCGTTCACTAGCATGAAGCAAATTTTCACCTCTAAAAGCCTCACCCTACCTCTCAAAATTCGACTTCTGAAATGTTATGTATTCCCGGTTTTGTTATATGGAATGGAGGCGTGGACAATAACCGCAATATTGATGAATAAAGTAGGGGCCTTTGAAATGTGGGCTTACCGACGTATATTACGTATATCTTGGACTGAGCACGTGACCAACGAAGAGATACTACGCCGGATAGGTAAAGAGAGAGAGGTAGGAATAAGTATAAAGAAAAGAAAATTGGAATACTTGGGCCACGTTATGAGATATAGTAAATATAGAGTACTACAGCTGATCGTTCATGGGAAAATAGACAGCAGAAGGGGTCCAGGGAGGAGAAGACACTCGTGGCTCCAAAACTTGTGGCAATGGTTCGGATTGTCATCTGCTGAACTATTTAGATCTGCCGTAAACAAAGTCAGAATAGCCATGTTGATTGCCAATGTTCGGAACGGACAAGGCACATGAAGAAGAAGAAGGGTGTGAAAAGAAAAGAATGGAACTAAATTTATCGTAAACTATGCAAGAAGGTTTAAATAATAATTGAAGTCATTCAAGGTTCTGAATGACCTAGCACAATATCTAACGGACATAGACGAGGGAATACTTATAAACGGAGAACGATTGAACAACATAAGGTACGCTGATGATACTGTCATTTTTGCAGACAGTCTTGAAGGTCTGAAGACACTTGTTTTCAGGGTGGTAGAAGTAAGTAGCAGCTTTGGTCTTAATTTTAACATCAAAAAAGCCAAATACATGGTTATAAGCAAAAATAGGATACCAACTGGTCAATTACTAGTTAACCAACAACCTATAACACCAATCACCAACTTTTGTTATCTAGGTGCAAACTTAAACGAACAGTGGGACCAATCGACGGAAATTAGGATAAGGATCGAGAAGGCAAGATCAGCTTTCGTTAAAATGAAAAAAATATTTAACATCCACGACATAAAATTGGAAATAAAAGTTCGTTTACTAAAATACTACGTATTTTCCGTTCTTTTATATGGCGCGGAGTCATGGACCTTGACTGAAGCATCACTGAAGAGACTCGAAGCATTTGAGAGGTGGTGCTATAGACGCATGGTGAGGATTTCCTGGATAGACAGAATTACCAACGAAGAAGTACTACATAGAATGGGTAAAGAGCGCGAACTAGTCATAACCATAAAACGTCGCAAACTAGCATACCTGGGCCATATAATGCGCAATGAACAACGATATAACCTACTTCAGACCATACTTCAAGGTAAAGTGCATGGAATAAAAGGTCCAGGACGGAGAAGAATAGGTTTACACTTATTTTAGTGCCAATCAAATTACCAATGGCGAAAAAAATATATATTTTCTAAACTAAAATTAATCAATCGCAATCTCAATAATCAATTAATCAATCCCAAAGATATCTATCTCTGGTCATTTTTTATAACTCATGCATAGGTTTTTTGCATATGCCTGTAATTTGATCAATCCATCTTGTTGGAGATCGTCGTCGTGATCTTCTATCTTTCCTGAGATAAGTGAATAAGTTTGATTGAAATTAAATACGTACAAATAATACTATAATTTCACGCCAAAAATTAATGATAGGCAAAAATAGATCTGACTGCCTAGTTAAAAAAACACTAGTAATCTTGGTTCAAAATAGTGAATTTTTTATTAAATAAAATGTACTTTTTTTGTTTAGGAAAATGTATTTCTTTCATCAGACAATCTAAATGATATTCTAACTCAATGATCAGTAATTGGAAAAACACATAAAAATAAAGTACCTACAAATATTATTTAAATAAAAGTTTGGATTTAAAATTGAAAAAAGCATTTATAACTGAGAATTGCCTAAATTGTCTGGATCTATAACTAGTGTTTTCTCTTCGTCGTCTGTAATAAACGTTACTCAATCATCGTATATCAATTTTTCTGTTTACTATACACGATTAGTCCAAACATCAGGTGTTGTCTCACTTAGAACATTGTTTCGTACTTTATTCACTTGATGTCCGTTTTCTCCAATATGACGATATAGTATTGTTTACAAATTCCACAAACTAAATAATGTTTTGTGACAAAGACTTAATAGCTCCTTTTTGCAGAAACATTTTTCAAAATGTAACCATTCTCTTAACTGAGATTTCGTCCATGAAGTTTGAGGCAATTTTTCTATCAGAAAACCATGGTATAAGGCATTATCCATAATTTATTTTATAAAGAGACGGATCCATTTTGTATATTACTTATTTTTCATCGACTTACGATAGTCTGCATTCTCTAATTTGGTAAAAAATATCAGTCCAGAATCTTCGTTATTAGTTTCAGCATGAACTAGATCCACCCTTTCAAAAATATCCAAGTTTCCCAAAAAAAAAAGAAACTGAAGCGGACTTGGATATAAATAATTTTTCATATAGAGCCTCAAAAAAGCTAGTTAAGCAACAATAATTTAGCGTTATAAGATGGACACTTTCTACTATGTTTAAGCGTGTATGTAAATTTACAGTGTTTTAAATTTTTTATTATTATAAATATGTTTTCCTCACTTGTATCTCTATTCTTATGCATTTTTTCTTCCATGATTTAAGTGTGTTGTCCAACTATATTAAATAGAACTGGAGATTAAAGAATTGTAAGGAAAAATACTGCGGAGTGGAATACCAGTCAAAAATGAATAGATACCTACACTTCATCTAATTTACATACCGATGCACGTCATCGGCGTCATAGCCCGTGACGGTACATGGTACCAACACGAAGTGTTTAGGCGGCAGGTGTGTTCTTTTTTAGAATCATTTTGCCGAGTACACTGGCATTACAGCCACTAGACATATTTTATTATATACGCGTAGAAATAATATTTAAAAATTTCTATTAATGTCAACTTAAAGAAGTACACAATAATATATAAAGCGTTTTTATGAAGAACATTTGTTCGGAACACACTGTAACTGTAATCGAACAAAGGTGAAATTTTGGCATAAATTGGTAACACTTATTTCAGAGTTGCGGTGTTGACACTTTTTGTATTTTATTATTTTGAATTTTAAAGTGAATACCTCTTGTTTTATATTTTTACCTATTTAATAAAATCTGTTCTATTAAGAACAAAATTAGTGTGTTTTATTTAAAAAATGTCACGTAAGAATTTAAATAGTCGTTGTAAAGAAATGGTAATACTTTTGCAATAAATATGTGGTCTATTTGATTTAAAATGGAGTCAGGATTTTTTTATATTTTGGCAACTATGTCAACTTCGATCTCTGACGTAGATAATGACGTGCATCGTTATATAAATTAGATGAAGTATATACACAACATACTTTACTATGCAGACGATTGATTAAGTATTAATGTAATGAAAAAGAAATAGATAAAAGAGAGGCGAAAGAAGAGCAAGTGGAAATGAGTGTATCTAAGTAATCTAAGTATTATATCTTAGTGTAAATTAATTACCTTTGTATAAGGTTGCATATTAAAGAATCTCTCATAATGCAACTCTGCTGATCCTCCATTTAAATTAAAGACGACTGGTATATTTATGGGATTTTCTAGTTTAATATTGGTTTTGATGGCATGTCGAACGCATGTTTCCAGTTCTTTGGTAGGTTTCTGTACTGGCGGCAGAACTTTGACGGTTATGTCATAAAATAAATATTCTTCAGTATCTTGATCTTTAAAAATAACCTGTAAAATAAATACAAAATAAAATACAACAACACAACACCATAAAGTACACAATTGCACTATAATGTTTTCTTTATTAGTGTATAAGAAATTAGATATTTACATATACTGTTACTCTTACTACTTTTAGACATAGAGTCACCTAGCGAGCTATATTTTTAATAAAACTTTTTAAATATTTAGTTTCAATTTTGTATTTTGAGAACGATTTCCGAAGTGGGAATTGGAACGCCAATAAATTTACTTTAACCTTTAATTGTGGCTTATTTCCCTTCAAATATTAAATAATTTAAAATGCCACAAAAAAAAAACAGTTTCAGAAAAATATAAAAATAAAATAAACGACAGATCACATTTGTAGCGTTGTATATTTAATGTCTATATAATAATATAAATTCGGTTTTAAATCTTTGTAATACGTCCCTGTTTGTTTATCTCGTCAGTACGCATAAAGATTGCCAAGAAATCTGTGTTTGTCTTTTACGAAAATCTTAAATGCGTAAATAACGCTGGAAATATTTTTTTGTCTGTTTACTTTCAAATTCCATAACTTTTTGTTAAATTGTCAGGTTAAAATAAGGGTCGCTAGAATAATCAATAACTACGTGTTATTTTTACCCAATTTAAAAGTAAATATACATGAGTCCCCTAATATTCCGGTTGAAAAAAAAGTTGTTTTGGTCGTTTCGAAGTTGTTAAGAACGAATATCAAGGAAAATATTGTTTGTTTAGGTTTTGTAGAAAGAGTCTCTTAGAAAAAATTATTGCAAGTCAGGTATTCAATTTTTTTTACAACGCAATAAGCCGGAGATATTGTTTATTTAGGTTTCCTGGCGCCTGAGAGACGCAGGGGGAAATGGAATTGTGGCGTCGAATTTAGAAAATGTAACGCAGTGAGTTCAGTCAAGCTAAATCAACCGAACGATTCAGTCAAGCTAAATCAATCGAACGATGCAGTCAATCTAAGAAGTCGTGTCTGTCGACTTGGAAACAAAGTCGGTTCAATTTTTTGGTTATGTCTTAAGACCAGTGAATATGATATAATAATACTCTTTGCATTATGCCATTTTGACAGAGTCGTAATTAAAGGATTTGTACAGTGTACCGGAGACAGGTGGAGTTTTTGAAAAGATTAGTATATAGGATGTCCCATCGGCAGTGTTATCCACTAAAACTGATTTGATCGTCGTTTTTGAGTATGGAAGTGGTTCCCTGTGTTCCAGTTTAAGAATTTGTCCTTGCAGCTCCAATCTCAGGGATTTAGCAAGTTTTTTCTTTTTCAAAGTTAAGTCCAAATTTGGTGAATTAAGGTAAGTCAACAATAGATGCAATACACATTGTAACGCAAATAGTCGAAAAAAGTTACGAGCACGGAATAGATCTACATATACTGTTTATTGACTACAAGCAAGCTTTTGACAGTGTAATAAGGGAGGAGCTAATTAAGGATATGAATCAATTAGGCATCCAAGAAAAATTAATAAGTCTCACGAAAATGACGATGAAGGAATCCAAGGCACGAATCTTAAAAAAGGAAGGCCCGTCAGATGAAGTACAAATGGAGGTAGGTGTTAGACAGGAAGACTCCCTGTCAACAACATTATTTAACATTGCCATAGAGGGCGCAGTAAGATCAGCCAAAATTATGGGAACGATTATCGAATCTTCATCCCAACTGATTGCGTATGCAGACGATATTGCACTGGTTACTAGAGATTTAAAAACCATGCAGAACATAATATTAATACTAGAAAAAGAAGCAAAGAAGAGAGGGCTAGTAATAAACCAAAGCAAAACGAAATACCTCAAGTGTTCAAGAGAGAATACGAATATAGAGAAAGAAATTAAGCTTGGTGCATATACATTTGAAAGAGTACACCGTTTCAAATACCTGGGAGTGATGGTAAATGACAGAAATGATAGAACAGATGAAATAAATGAACGCATCCTACTGGGTAATAAAACTTACTGGAACTACCAAAAATTCTTGAAAGAAAAATACATTAGTAAGAAAACCAAATTAAAAATTTACAAGACTGCAATCAGGCCAGTGATCACCTATGGTGCAGAGACGATGTGCCTAACACAAAAAGATGAAATGAGGTTAGAAATCTTAGAGAGAAAGATAATTCGACGAATAATGGGGCCGGTGAGGATAAGTGTAGGCGAATTTAGAAGATTAACCAATGAAGAACTTAAAGAAGTGATCGAGGGTGAAGACATAATCAACTTCGTTAAGACGCAAAGGCTCAGGTGGCTGGGGCACACAGAAAGAGCTAACCCAGACTCTACGCTAAAGCGAATAACTGGATGGAGACCAACAACAAAGAGACCAAAGGGGAGACCCAAAACAAGATGGAGAGATCAAGTCTTAGGAGACATAAAGAAGCTGAGAATATACAATTGGAAGGAGCGCTGTAAGGATCGGAAAGAATGGAGGAAAATTGTAGACAGGGCCAAGTCAGATACGCTGCTATAATAATAAAAAAAAACAACAGCGGACTGATTCTCCGCAATAAATGAATCAGAGAGCCCAAAAGGGCGGCAAACACTCCGCCAGGAGTGAATAAGCCATGATGATGATGAAGGTAACAATTCAATATATTATGTTTTCGAAGTTATATAGACATTTTTAATAATTGATTTCATTAAAATAAAACAATTTGTCATAATTAAAGTTTTATATTATCGTTAGAGTCGTAGCTAAAAAATGTCGTACTCTATTCTGATTTAAAATGTTATGTTGACATATGACATTTGCTCTAATCCATTGTTGTTGTAAAACAATTTCAATTTGAATATTATATATAAAAGATATTACATATATAAGGTTAAATTCTACAGTATTTTCATAAAAAGGATATCCATAATTTTTTTGATAATCTAATTTGGCCATATTATAAATTAGGAACCATTTCAAGAATTTTTGTAGCCAAGTTATTGTTAATTTGTTATATAGCTCTTGTATAATATGTATTTTTGAAAACCGTTTGTTTGAGACAAGAATAAACGTTCGATTTGTTTGTCTGATCCATTTTGTGTTTTAATTTAGAAAAGTCTCCTAATCCTTCTATGCAATTTTGATTGTAGGGAAGAAGAATTTTTTCTTTCTCCCAGCAGGAAGTTTTCTTCAAAGCGGCGTCCAATTAACATAAATAGCTAGAGGTAAATTTGTCTGCCATATCTTATTCGTTTATGCTCAGGAGATTTATGTAAGTATCCTTTTGTTTTCGTTTAGTAAATACCCCAATCCGACTCAAATTTATTTTAACTTATTCACGACCCAGCTCTCCAACAATCCTCTGAGTGTCGTACGCACTAGTTCCGATTATTTTGTTTGCCCAATCTTCTCCCCCATGTTCTTACCCTGAGGTAAGCAAAATAGTCGTTACAAATTGTAGACCAAATAATTGAATTAGCATACTGCGGGTCTGTCAATATTCATCAAATTTGGGATTCGATTTTATTGTATTCTACTTTATTCTATGTTATTCCATTCTATTCCATATGATTTTATTTTATCCTATGTTATTTCGTTTTATTTTATTTTACTTTACTTTATTCCATTTTATTCTAATTACGATATTTTATTTTAGTTTTTTTTATTTTATTCTTTTTGTTCTATTGTATTCTATTTTATTCCATTTTATTTCATTTTATTCTATGTTATTCTCTTTTATTTGATTTTATTTTAATAAACAGTTTCTTGAATCTCGCTGAACCTAAAATCTACCTAGCAATATAAAATGTATGTTGTCAAGTCTGCGAATAAGTCAACAAATATGCATTTAAAAAATATCTATGGAACATTTTTTGCTTAAACTGTGTACCATCTATTTTTTGTGTACTTATTTTTGATATAAAATTTTTCTCACTCAAGTCGGATTGATATTTACCCCCAGGGAAAAAGCACATATCTGCACAGGGTGAATTTGCGTGTTGGGGTATTTCGTAGCTACTGTTAAAATTTCAAGTAAATCGATGCGTCTTCGACGAAATCCGAGGTAAAAACCTTGATTATTTTTTTCTAATAATAATGACACATTTTATGACAACACAGAAACAACATTCAAATAGGTCCACATACTATTTGGTTTATAAATATCTACACCCATTGCTTTAAAATAACTAGCTTCTAATATATTATACAAGACAATACGTACATTGAAATCTAAAACTTCTTCGTTAATAATATAAACATTCCATTCATAACCCTTAACTTCATTAGGTCTAAGTTCAACAGTTTCTAACCCAGACACTTTGTACAAAGTTTTTAGTGTTGGGATGCTTTTTAAAACCGTTTCCACTTGGCAACAGATTTTGGAGTTCGTCCAATTTCTTATTTGCAATATTTGGGAATGATTATACTTGGCTCTGATCTCAATCCATATTTTTTTCTCCGGCAAAGGTGCTACGGCTGTTCCAACTAAGGAATAAATGATTTCTTTGTCATCTAGGGGTAATATAAGAAGACCCTAAAATACATTGTTAAAGTTAATGATGATCCTATGATACACTATGCGATGTTTAAAATATTTCAAAGTTCAAAAACATTAGAATAATTCAGATAAGTAGGATAATACCCAACAAACATTTCGAAGAAGGAAAGTCTTTAAATTTTTGGATTACCTGTATTAAACAAAATGTAAGCTATGCATAAATTATTTCTTTGTTATACTATACTTGAATGACCCGCATAATTTTAAGTGAAATCCAAAGACAATTGAACCGGGTTTTCCAAATACATTAATGCAGTGATTAAGGACAATAGAATATATTTTATAAATATAGGTTTTTGTTAGTTTTTAAGAATCGTAGAAAAATATTATTTGTAAATAAGTTTTAGGAAATTTTATAATTATAGGTAAAAATTTGTTTGTTATCGAAATGAAAAAATGGGAAGAATTGTGACGAGCTTTGATTGGCGGAGATTGAAAAAGGTGGGATAGGTATGTAGGAATGAAAGTTTAGCTAGATTTTTGAAACAGAAAAGAGACGTCAGTTGGTTTCCAAGGGTGCAAGGCGAACGGCCGTTGTTCTCGGGTAGTTTCCCACCAAGAGTCACTGTTCAGGCCAACGAGAGATTCAGTTTATCGTAAAGAGAAGATATTCCAAGAGTCATTTTTCACTCTGGCCAACGAGAGATTCAGTTTATCGGGAGGAGAAAGGCTATCATAATTTAAATAATTCGTGCTTTTGAAGGAGATCATTAAGGTCGATATACTTGCAACAATTTGTTGTAAGATTGCTGATTACCTAGGGAGCGCCTGAGAGTGGATAATATAGTCTACAAGGAACAAGGATTTGGACCACTCATCATCAGAGAGAGATATTTTTGTTTTCTGTAGTTTTTCTTTTATTGATAACACAATTTATACACTTAATTTAGAAAGGATATAAATAATTTGATTAGGAGAGTTAGAATAATTTGGGATTTTGAGATTTCAATTAATATTGTTTGTACCATTAATTTTGAAGGTTCACGTACGTAGAACAAAATTTTGAGAATCATTATATGAGATTTTGTTTATTGAAAACATTTGAGTGTGAATTATTTCATTATTTTTATTTCAATATATAGTGTTATATCATATGTGTTTTTTATTATTCCGGTATTCTTTGGACCTTACCTTTCACATGTAATAGCATAGATATTGAAGCACGAATTTAACCCTGAGATAAGAGAATTAAAAAGTGTGATAGAGTCATAATCATATCATTTAAATAATTTTAATTGATTAATTAATTAATTAGCTAATTAATTGCTTGGCGCACCAAGACTTGAAATAATATATATATATATATATATATATATATATATATATATATATATATAAATATTAATATATATATATATATATATATTAATATATATATACATATATATATATATATATATATATATATATATATATATATATATATATATATATTTGTGATATTCAATGTCTTAGTGCGCCAAGTAATTAATTAGCTAATTAATTAATTAATTAATTAAAATTATTTAAATGATATGATTATGATTCTATCACAATTTTTATTCTCTTATCTCAGGGTTATATTCGTGCTTCAAAATCTATGGTTAACATGTAAAAGGTAAGGTCCAAAGAATACCGGAATAATAAAAAACATATAGGATATAACATTATATATTGAAATAAAAATAATGAAATAAAATTCACACTCAAATGTTTTCAATAAACAATATATCATATAATGATTCTTAAAATTTTGTTCTACGTACGTGAACCTTCAAAATTAATGATACAAACAATATTAGTTAAAATCACAAAATCCCAATTATTATTCTAAATCTCCTAATCAAAATATTTATATCTTTTCTAAAGTAATTGTAAAATTTGTGTTAAATTAATTTGATGATGATGAGGGCGAGCTGGCATACAAGTAACGATTATTATAAGTGAATTTTCGATCAACAGAGTGATGAAAACCTTGGGTTTGGTTTTTTTTTTCTGAAACAATAGGGTTGAATCAGTTTTCACCTCCATCGTAAATTGGATACTAATATGTATATCATTCAGATGGGTTTGAAAAGACATCAAAGTGTCCCTTTCATGGGGCAAAATGACGAATGTATCGTCAACATATCGTAACAAACATGTAGGTTTGAGCATTGATGTGTATAGAGCAATTACTGAAGATAGTGGGGAGTCCATTGGGTTACCATTTATTTAAAAAGTGGAGAAAATCAGTGCTAAATAGAATTTTATATACAAGAAAAAAATATAAGCAAATGTAAGGAATACCCGGAACTATATGACTATAAGCCAGAAGAAGGAAGTGAGCCAGAACATAAAACGTACTCCTAATAAAATTTGAGTAAATATGGTTAGTACTATTAGAGATTTAGTGATAGTAAAATAAAGTCTACAAAAGAAATGAAAAACTTATATAAAGACTGGTTTGAAAATAATTCTTATACATATTCTTACAATTAAAACGTACTAAACAATAACTATCTGTTGGAATTTGTTCTGGCTAATTGGCTTAATTCCAGTACCATAAAACAAAACACACACACACATATCTGTTGGAAATACTAGAGTGTCAGCAGACAAAAATATATAAGTATATTACAAGATTTATAGACCAACAAGATTCATAGACCAGGTAATGGCCTACAAATACCTAGGTCACGAGATTGGTACAGGAAAAGATAATCAAAAAGTTGAGCTTCTCTGTCGTATAAGACTGACTTTTTAAAATTTTTTAAATGACCAAATCGTGGGACATACCAATATGTCGTAAAAGAGAAATCTTTAATCAGTGTGTTTTGCCAGTGTTGACTTAAGGAGCGGAAACGTTGACTAGGACAAGGAGAACAGTGAAAAAGATCCATATGGCTCAAAAGGCGATTTAGCTATGGTGGGTGTTTAAATACGAGACAAGATTTCAAAGCGCCAGCTACGACAAAGATCAGGAGTGGCTGATGCTGTAGAAATAAAAACAACACTAAAGTGGAACTGGGGCAGGTCACGTGGCTTGAATGACAGATGTACAAAGCTTATACTGGAATGGAGACCAAGACATGATGCCTACCGAAGCAGAGGTCGTCCACCAACATATTGCCATAAAAATTGTGTGCAAGAGGCACAAGATCGAAACAGATGAAAAGTTATGAGGAAGATCTATGTCCAGCAGTGAACAAGCAAAGATTAAATGATGATGATAACGATTACATCGTTTAGGTAAACATATATCTTTGTGAAAATATAGCCAAAGATCTACTATGACTGACTATTTAAACTATCAAAATGTATATTACTGTATCATTGCTGTCCAAAGTTGTCATTCGTTTGGGATAATAATCAACTGGGATCGATGCTGTTGAATTTGGTTCAAGCAATATTTCTGCAGGCACTGTAAAAATGCTGTTTGAAACTGTAGGCTTTATACGCCAATGTAGCCTATTCCTAAAAGTAACAGTATTTTTTATAAAATTGTGTATATGTTACAGTATTTCAGACTTACGTGTTTGTGAGTGAAACATATTGGGTACATTTTTCTCGAACTGGACAATAAAACTGAATTGTGTCTGTTGGTTCAGGTAGATCTATTGTATTAGCTACTAACGAAAGTTCCAGAATGTGTTTATTGTCTACTAAACACTTACACTGAAAGCAAATAAGTGCATTTTACTGTAATAATCAATAAATATAATAAATATTAATAATACGATGCTAGTAAAGGAGTACGTTAGTACGTTAGTATTAAAGTCACCCATAAAGAAATTATCTTGTTGCATTTCAAAACACGGAAGCAAAAATCTTTTCAGCATACGTTTTTTTGGAAACTTTAAACAGTATTTACTTAACTAAAGGCGGAAATACACCATTCAACTCGGTTGAACAATGTGGATGATTCAATCACATTGTTCAATAAAATTGAAAAGCATACATATACACGCTTCAATTTATTCTTCATTCAATTCGGTTGAATAATGTGGATGATTCAAAATATACGTACGGAACTTATTATATCACAAGTCAAAATGAAAAAATAACTCGATGACGGTTGAATCGAATACAATCGACAAAACTTGTATAGACGAGTCAATGTGGATGAATCATCCCAGTTGTACAACGAAGTTGAACGAAAGTAGAAATTATCTCAACTCATTTCAACGTTCAATTTTGTTGAACGCTCTTATGGAATTGCAAAATACATGATTCATTTTGGTTGAATCATCCACATTGTTCAACCGAATTGAATGGTGTTTTTCCGCCTTAACTGCGTATTTGACTTTGAAGTGAAGTGGTGGATCTACATTCATTAATTTTTACATATTGACGCAATAACGCTTTTTTCTGCATTGCAACCATTACAAAGAACATGTTACATTGTCGATGCATTATTATTTTTGATCGAATCATAAAAATATGGCACCGATTTTAAACATAGCTTTCTCATTGACAAATATTCCTGCAAAATTATATTACATAGTCTTTTGATATCTTCAACTACTCGGCTATCTTGGTAATTTTAATTTATGATTATCCAAATTTATTTTTCTTAGTATTTAGTGTTTTCTAAGAAAAAAATAATACAACAAAAAAAATTAAATTATTCTGAAATTACAGACACTACAGCGAAACGTTCAAAACGTTCACCTCATGAGCTTAATTAGGACAATTTTCAATTAAAGGTGACTCATCTTCAAATTGAACTAAAAGCTAACGACAACAATGTTAAATATCAGAAGTAAATTCTTACCGGGGTCATTTTTATTGTGTATGCTTTGCCAATGTAAATAAGTGAGCAATAGTTCCTTGAAATTTGGCCCCGTAACAATATAAATTGGTGCTATTCACGAGCGTATAGTTAGACAAGTTAATTTAATGGTTTCAAACATCGATAATCTTATAAACATTTCGATGGTTTATATATTTACGTTCTTGGAAAGAATGGGAATGAGAGAAATATGATATTTTGGTTTATTCGTTCTACATTCTATATGTGCATAGGCTTGGTGTGTTCTATTTCTTGGGAATATCTTTAATAAATAGAAACAACAGTAGAAGTCTTAAGATTTCCTTCTTGGCAAAAACTAAATTCAAACTGTGTTATTAAATAAACTTTATTATTAACTTTAAAATAATTTTGAGGCAAGTAAATTAATTTTGATGTAAGTTTATTCTTTTTCAATCAGTAACCCATTAACTTTCGATACAATAAACAAAGAGAAATTTGTCAATTAATTTTTAAGATTGGATTAAAAACACATAATTTAAGACTAATAATTTACAGCCAAAAAGATTTTTTTCTCATTTTCAAAGAAAAACAGTACAATTTTTAATAAAGGAACATCTTGAATTTTAAATGTAAGGTAAGGTGGGGTAAGAGCGTTTTCGAGGCAAGTGCGTACTTGACTTCCATTATTTTTAAATCAGGCGCCAGTTTCCCAAGGTTCCGTGAAATTTACTTATTGTAACTTTATAGAGAAATTTTATACATTAGGCAACACTGGATGTCAATAGATCAAATGTTTCAATTCATTTAGTAACGTCATATTTTTTTGGTGAATGGTCGAGTTAGTCGTGATTTATATATCTTATGACATCGTGCACATTTTTACATATATATTTGTTAATTTTGGTAAGTAGGCATGATTTATAATTATCTTTCAATATAGCATAGTATTTTTCTCACTTTTTAAAATATTTCTTCTGTTAATATATTATGCGCTCTTGCCCCTGCTAAACTCGTGGTTGGGAAAGTGCGTAAGTAGTAGATGGGGCAAGTGCATGGTACTATGCTCTTTCCCCATTATTATTTTATTATATCATCTTTATCTATTTTTTTATTGTTTCAGATTCTATATCACAAAATGGTAAGGAATTATATACGTAAATCTGATAGAGGTAAATCATACTCTAAGGAAGATTTAAATTTAGCAATGAATGATGTAAAATGTCTACGATGTAATGCCTATAAAGCTAGTAAATTCTATAAGATACCTTTAAATACAATCATTGATCATGTTAAAGGGAGCAGAGGCTCAAAGTCTGATTTATATGGAAGACCTACAGCTTTAGGATTTCAGATAGAAACACAAATTGCTTTAGGACTACGGTCCATGGAAAAAAATGGTTTTGGCTTATGTAGAAAAGAAGTAATAAACCTAGTAGAAGAATATGTATGACAAAATAAATTAAAAACTCCTTTTAAAGATGGACAACCTAACAAAGACTGGCTGATTTCTTTTATGAGACGACTAAACTTGTCCGTAAAGAAACCCCAGGCTGTAGAAATTGCTCGCAAGAAATCGTGTGATCCATTTATAGTTAAAGGATATTTTAAGTTACTACATAATACTATTCAAGAATTAGGTATAGCAGATAAACTCCATTTGATCTTTAACTGCGATGAAACTAGTTTCTGTAAAGATCCTTCCAAAACCAAAGTAGTCGGTGCCAAAGGTGAGCCATGCACAAGAACTACGATCACGTCAGGGAAAGAAAATATATCAGTTTTATTAACAATTAGTGCATGTGGACAAAAGTTACCGCCTTTAGTTATATATAAAGATAACAATATTTGGGATCAATGGTGTACACCAGAAGGTACAGGTTTTCCAGGAACAATGTACGCTACAACTTCTAATGGATGGATGGAAACTGTAGTATTTGAAAATTACTTCGTTAGTAGTTTTATAAAAAATTTAGGCAACGAAAGACCAGCACTCCTCATTTGCGATGGACATTCCACTCATGTAGGCTTGAAGGTTATTAAACTAGCTAGAGCAGAAAATATTACTATCCTGAAATTACCACCGCATTCCAGCCATCTCCTTCAACCACTAGACCTATGTATTATAAAGTCTCTTAAAAGTTGTTGGGATCAAAAACTAGTGCAATGGCAACGACATCATTTTGGTGAAAAATTACCAAAAAAAGAATTTGCTAAAATTTTGGGAGAAATATGGAATGACACTGACACAACAATTGTAAGGAAAAGTTTCGAGAAAGCAGGAATATATCCCCTTAATCACAACATAATTCCAGATAATGTGTTCGTTCCAGCAGTATTGAGAAAATGGAAAGAGTCTTAAAATAATTCAGACATAGTTTTAGAGGCTTCAACACCAGTAATATTTAATATTAATCACCAATCGATGATCAAATAATAACTGATTCTAACGAAATTGCCTCGACATCAGTACCAATACATACTACTTCATATGAAACAGACTTAAACGAAATCACCCCTGAAGTTTCTTTTGAAGAATTATTATTAAAAACAATCAAGAGTCATTCTACTAATACCAATTCCAAAAAGAAAATTAGAATTTGTGCTGGGTCAGAAGTCATCACATCAGAAGAAGTGTATCAGCGAATTAAAACAAATAAAGCAGAAAGGCAACTTCCAGAGGAAAACAAAATGAAAAGGAAAGAAGATAGAGAAAAAAAGAAAAAAGAAAATAACTGCTTAAAAAATATGACACGACCCAAAGCTTCTGGTAAAATTACATCAGACCTGTCAGAAGCTGAAGATTTTAAAGAGTCTTCTAGTGATGATGATACTTTTGAACAGTTTGTGAATAGAGAAGTAGACGAACTAAGGGATATACAAACCACATTTAAAGATACAAGTAATCTTAAAATTTATGATTGGGTTCTAGTAAAATTTTGTGGTAAGAAGTCAATCAAATACTTTGTGGAAAAAATAACGCAAATGGATGATGAACCAATCGTACTATTTACTAGAATAGTATCTGAAAACAACTATGGAATGACATTCAAATTTCCGCTGGTTCCTGATGTAAGTCCTGTGGCAGTTTCTGATATTATTTCTGTTTTACCACTACCAAATTTTACGCGCAGAGGAGAAATTAATTTCCAAGTATCCCTTACAGGATATAGTATGCAATAAATTATATGTATTTGTTTCTTAGCAATCATGCAATAAACTGTAGTGTCAAAGAATTTATTATTATTTTTGTATTTCCACTAATAAAATTCAATATTTTCATGTGAAATTTGTTCAAAACTGATGGCTTCCATTACACTGACCACAAAAAAAGTTTGCCACTTGCTTATTTGTTCTTAGAGTTTCATTCTAAAATAAGCAATATTTGATATAAAGAGTAGATAAAATGCTCTTATTGTTATTTAAGATTAATACAAAAAAAGAGCAAAATATATACTATGTACGCTCTTGCCCCATTTTGGTGGGGCAAGTGCGCAACATTGTATTTAAGCAGTATTTAAACAAAAAAATATGTTATTACAATTATAAACATACAAATAAACATACGTTATTACCACGAACATTCGTAAACAAATTTCTTGGGATAATAGTTATATTACTCCAAATTTCAATCAGTTTTTCACAGAAAGTCATCACCAAATTTATTGTTAAGTTGAACTTAAATAAATGGCCACGATAAATATTTGGTCCGCACTTACCTGTCTTACCTTAAAAATTAAATTTTAAGGTAAAAATTTTCGAAACATTCAGGGTGTAGATGCACTCTACACCTTTTACATAAATAAATAGTATTACTACTTTTTTTACATTCGACATTCTTCTATTGGCCACATTACAAAAATAGACTAATATCGTCTCTTTTTGTAATGTGGCCAATATTGTCGAATCTAGTTTAATCTGGTAAAGAAAATTTAGATTGACACTGATGTAGAGGTTTCTTCACTAGTTTCTTCTTTTTATGTTTGATTAAACGAAATCTATGTCGGCTCATCCATTTTCTATCAATCCAATATAATATATCAATTTAGAGCAGACCAGATAAAATACATATGCCAACAAATTTTCTTAAATATATTTCATTTATTTCGAAATCATGCCGATTATTCTGCGATGCATAAATATTTGTAAAATATACAATGCTCTAAATTACTTGTTTATCAAAAAAGAGTGATAAAAGTTCAATATGTCACTTGCCACCATGGTTGGCTTTTATATTGTCTAAATATCAATTAGACTGATGTTGAATTAATACTGAGTACAAAGGAGTATCAGTTTTTAGCTTGGGACAAATTTGAATTTAATATTTTTGCCTGGTTTTTCCTTTATATAGAATAATGACGAGATTGCATGTTAAAATTTCAGATTGTTTAGTCTAACGAAAAATAAGTATTTTGCAAAGTTTTTTGTTTTTTGAAGTACTGTATTAGACACTCTATAATAACAATAAAGTTTTACTTTATTTTGTTAGAAAACTATAAGAAACCTGTCAAAACATACGTGATTTATACCCCTCTGCAAAGTTAAGAAGCGGAATATGATCTCGTCGGTTTAAGTGCGACGTTGCCAATTAATCACCTTCAAATAAAAATTGTTTTAGTATAGCCAATTAATCGACGAACCCGAGATTTTATAAAATCATTGAGAATTTAGAAAAATGTTGAAAATAATTTTGTGACTTGACTGACGTGTTAGTCTTTAATTTTCAAATATTTGCAACTATAATTTCTTAAATACTGAATATATATCTATACAGTATCTAATCAGTAAGATACTTCCCATCTTAATGAATAAATTGTCTTAGGACCATACTTCATTTAATAATAGTTTACAACTAGCAATCATTGTAAGTGGTAAATATTTCTCACCTTTCTAATTATCTGACCCACGCTGTCACATTTAAAAGTAAACATAATTTGCAGTTTACTATTCGCCGCCAAATAGCCTTCTGTAGGAATGAGTTTAAAATGTGTCAATTCTTCATGAGTCCATCTAAACCTTAAATTTAAAACACAGTATGAACCTAGGTTAAAAAACGAGATTGCGTCAGACCGATATTTCTCAGGATATGGCTTAGACTATTATATTTCTTTAAATTTCGGAAACTAAAATTTTATAAAGTAGTAATTTAGTTTATACTTGTATAATAATCATAATTATAATCATAAAGCCTCTGTTTGCGTCTACATTCAAACATGGGTCTTCTTAAGGTCTTTTCATTTATTTATATCTTGTGCTGTTGCAACCCCATTCATTGAGATTCTCTTGATGTCATCTGACAGCGGGTGCATTCATCAATCCTTAGTCTCCATTCCAAAATCTTCCTTGTCCGTCTCCCATCCCACAATCGTGCTCAATGTTCAACCTTTATCTATTTAAGCCTTGTAATGCGTTCGAAAATATCCACATTTAATTTTCTAGGTGTCTCCTCGTTTCGTACCCTTTCTCTTAGTATTAGGTCAAGTATTTAGAGTCATGTGGGGCAATTAAATCTTTTGATTTTTAATGCCTAAATGACAATAAAATTAAAAGCAAAAAACATATTAATGTGCAGAAATATACAGAACCTTCTCATACGATTAATTTGCCAATACAGTATCAATTTTTTAATAGTGCCTATAAAAAATCTATAAGTACCTATACTAAATATAGTTGCGTCTGGTTTCTTATACAATACTGTAAAATTATCCACAAAAATTTAGTAGAAAGTATTACAAAAAACTTAAAAAGATTAAAATATAAAAACAAGTACTTAATTCCAAAGTCTCCAGTATTTCTTAACAATAAAGTGTTCGTTCTTTCATGTCCAACCAAAACGTTGCAAAACGTTAGTAGGTTTTGATCCAATGAAAATTCGGGTACTACACATCTTCCCTTTATTGAACTTAATAGTCCAATATAATCAAATATTTTGTAGTATATCTAAAAGAAAAACAAAATTAGATAATGATATTAAAGTATATATCGCGGGTGTAAAGTTGTTGATTCGTCCAACAATTTATTTTATTTATCATTTATCACTTTTAGATTATTCTAGCAGTCAGAGATTTGATCTTTATAAACAAGATTAACAAGCTGAATGTTGCTGAGAATGTCAATTTTAAGGCTCCAAAAAAGATGCAAAAAGTTTGCTACTCTTATCCCTGGACTTCCCCCTAAAACCCTACTTGTAGAAGGGGAAAAACAAAAAACATTGATTCACCAAGAATCTGTACGTTGTAGAAAAAAATGTTTTAAGTGATAAATTTAGCCTATAAAACAATAGTTCTATACGCGTATCATCCCGCATAACGCAGTTCATCTTACAGCGCCAGCTCTGCTTACAAAAAATGGACCTGGCACTCTGATTCGTTTTCTACGACTTTATAAGTCCCAACAAGCCGAAGATCTCACCCATTTAAAGTTTGAGATTAGGCTGAGGTCGTTTCAACCCGAATGCCTAGAATTATTTGCTTTACCGGATGAAACTCGTACGGAACGAGCGCCTTACTTTGTCCTAACCACGCATAGTTCACTATCTTTTGGGTCTCAGTGTGTACGCTTTTGTTACGCCTTTTCTCGCCATGAGAATGAGACACTCTGGGAGTGCGAAGCGGTAACTTTTAGGGGCAAACCGCTTAACGTCCTCAGTCTACGCAAAGTCATTACTTTACTGTCATTACGCCATTAGGTTTAGTTATATCTCAGTGATTCACGCATATGCTAGACTCCTTGGTCCGTGTTTCAAGACGGGTCCTAAAAGTACCCAAATCCAGAGCGTTACTGATAGGCGTTTCAAAATCTGTTCGAGAACACCGTAACCAACAGTCGTTCTGGGACAGAATCGCCACCAGGTCCGATCACTGTCAAAAACAAAACGTGCTTGCAAACACCAAGGATCCGTATAATTAAAAATTACGCGGGCTCCACCTCTAGTCTTAGTGTGCGCTCATAACGAGGCGCTCGCTCGGACTATAGGATGGTATCATATTATCATCACCAGGGAAAATAAATGTACTATTTTAAAAATACCAGCGTTCACTTGAATACCCAGTTAATTGGGCCATTTTTTATCAAAAGAAATTTACCGTCAGATAGATAGTTACGAAATGTTATTTAGAATGAAATTGTACCTACACTGAGAAATTTGTTTGGGGCCAATTTTAATCAAATATAGTTTTAGCAAGATTTAGCTCCATCTCATTTTGGTGTAAATGTTCGGCGTTATTTAGATGGGATATTTCCCTTACGATGGATTGGTAGACAACGTACAATTGAATGGCCTCTACGTTCACCTGATTTCCATCCTAAAGATTATTTTTATTGGAGATACTTGAAAAATTTAGTTTAAAAAATAAACCAGTAAGTCTTGCAGAGTTAAGGCAACTTCTCTTCTTAACATGCCATACACCAAAGTGCGTAGGCGACTATCTCATTACTAGAATTCTGTTCTTGGCGGCGTGACACAGCTCGCCTGTATTGTGTATTCCTGTCCACTCTTTAATATTCCTTAACCAGGATAATTGTTTGCGGCCAGCTCCTCTCCTACCTTCGATCTTCCTTTGTAGGATTAACTGTGGTATTTCATATTTTGCTCCTCTCAATATGTGCCCAAGGTAACCAATCTTGCGTTTTTTAATTAATTCCAAGAGTTCTCTTTCCATGCCGGCTCTCTTAAGGACGTCATCGTTTCGAACTCTATCCACCTAAGGTATGAGCATCATTCTTCTCAATGACCACATTTCAAATACTTCAAGTTTGTTGATAGATGTCTTTTTCAAAGTCCACATTTCCATGCCATAAAGCAAGATGGACCATATGTAGCACATGACCATTCTGTAGCGTATTTCGAAATTTAGGTTTTGATTACATAGGAGCGGTCTGAATTTTACAAAAGCTTGTCTTGCCATTTGTATTCGGGTTTTTATCTCGTGTTGTGGATCTGATTGGTCATTGATTGTGGTGCCAAGGTATTTAAAAGTTTTCACGCGTTTTATACGATCGTCACCTATGCATATTATCGGGTATTAAGGCAACGAATTATCGATAATTCTCGAATAATCTCGAAGACAATCATGGAGAAATCTGGTAGACGCATTCTACCATCGATTAGGGTACTGTCAACTCACAAATGGAGCACATTTTAAACACTTGATAAAGTAACCATTATGTTTTTTTTTTATTGTTACATTGCATGTTTACAACCCACTCTATACACAGAGTAATAAGTAAATAGTCTGTAAGTAAATAACGTGAGTTAGGTACCGTCCAGTGAATGTTCTGTATTATTGCGGTAGGTATTCTTGCCATACCCTCTTCAATCTTCTTTCGGCAAGTGGTTGGGTGAATATCAGTTCGTTATTGTGATCAGTGGTGCGATTTTTATCTTTTATGGAATGCTTCTTTATTATGTCGTTAATTAATGGGATGTCCAGATCATTGTGAAGTGTTTGGTTAGATAGATACCATGGAGCTTTACCTATCATACGGAGTATTTTGGATTGGAATGTTTGAAGTATCTTCGTATTTAAAGGTTTACTACACCCACATAGTTCTAGAGAAGCAGTTTATTTCAAGAGATAACTGAGACCTTTCGTTAAATAGCTAGTTTAAATTTTTTAGTTTAAGATCTACTTGTTTTCGTTTAGTTTTAATGTGCGTTATCCATGTAAGTTTTTCATCCAGGTGCAATCTCAAGTGTTTGACAACTGGTTTTATAGGAATAGTAATAATATTAATATAAACACTGATCTTCCATCGCTGAAGCCAGTTTTGTAATTGATCTAAATGATTTTGTACTTTTTGTGATGCTACATTAGAGTCGATATCTACTGCCAAGATTCCCGTGTCATCGGCAAATGTAGCTAAGAAGGTATCATTGCTGATTGGAACGTCTGCTATAAATATCAAATACAGAAATGGGCCCAAAACGCTACCCTGAGGTACGCCAGATGTGGTAATTTGAGTAGCTGTCTTCAATTTTGACTTGTAAGTAACGATAAGTAAGATATGATTTTAGTATAAAGTATAGTCGGTCTGTTAGGTGTAATTTCAATTGTAGAGGAGACCTTCTTGCCATACTCTATCAAATGCCTGTTGTATATCTAGAAACACTCAAGCGCAAAACGTTTTCTCTTCGAGAGATTTATATTTACTATTCTGTGGCATTGTTGAATGGTTGAGTGTTCACGTCTAAATCCAAATTGGTGTTGTGGTATAATTTTGTTAATGGGAACAACTTGCTCGATTTTATGTAATAGTAGCCTTTCTAATACTTTTGACATTATTGGGAGTAGGCTTATAGAGCGATATGAACTTGCTTGCGTTGCGGGCTTACCAGGTTTCGGAATCATAGTAACTTGAGCAAATTTCCATTGTATTAAAAAGTATCAAAGACGTAGTATGCTATTGTATATTATTGTTAATAGCACCACTGCTTTTCTCGGTAGCTTCTGAAGTAATTCCCCTGTTATCAAATCATAGCCAGCTTTCTTAGGATTTAGCATTTTTATTAGTTGTCGAACCTCTGTCGGAGTAAATGTGCCAAAGGAAGAGAAAGTTGACATTGAGTTTTAAGGTACACTTTTATATCATCATTTTTATCGTTATTAGTACCAGGTGCTGCGAATATAGTTGCAAGCTGCTCTGCGAGTACTGTTGTTTTTTCTGCGTTTATGCGGGCCCAGTTCGTTTATGTTTTTCTTAAAGGTGAATTTGTTATTGTCGATCGTTTAAACTTTTTTGTAGCTTTCCATATAAAGTGGTCTTCATGTGAGATGTTTAAAACATAAAACTGGAATGAGTCGTTTTTTTCTTCATGTAATGCTCTATTTAGTCTATTATTTATCCTGTTAAGGTTCGTTTTATTTAGTGGATTTCTCGTTTGTTGCCATATGCGTCGAGCTCTTCTTTTTTCTGCTACCAGTTCTCTTATATGAAGGGGGATATTATGGTTTTCTTGTACACTTCTTTGGCGCTGTAGTGTTGCTTCCCATCCTGTTGTTTGTAAAAATGTTGGTAAATAGTCTACTGCTTTTTCTACATCTTGGTTTTCTTTTATCCTAATATCTAGTGTAATTTTTGTATTTACATAATTTTGGAAAACATCCCACTTTGTTTCTGTAGTGTGGGTGGTGGTGTTCTCCATATTATGTATGTACTTAAAGTTATTGTTATTATACTGTGATCTGATGTTAAATCAAAGTTTGACTCTATTGCACTATGGATGTCAGATATCCCTTTTGTTACAGCAAAATCTACCAAATCTAGTATGCAGCTAGTATGTGGGTTCTCCCGTAGATAAGTATCTTAAGTTATTTTGTTGGATAATATTTATTAATGCTCGACCTTTAGGTGTAATTATTCTGGAAGCCCATGTGAGTGTTTAGCATTTCAGTCTGCTGCTACTATGAATTTGGATCCAAGAGTTTGTATGAAATCATGATACTCTTCGCTTGAAATTGGATGTCTAGGTGGGCTGTAGACTGATGCTACACCGAGGGAGACATTTTTTTCTATTTTAATGATTGCTGCTTGAATTTTTTCCATAATATAAGGTTGGACTGCATAGTGTTTAATTTTTAATTTAATAATAACGGCAGAACCTGCATGTGCTCCTCCGTCTGGATGGTTTGCATAATACACAGTTTAGTAAGGTATCTTAATAACGGTTCTTTGTGTGACGTGGCTTTCAGATATTAATAGAATGTCTATATTATACATTTTTAAAAACAGTGATATCTCTAATATATGGTTTGAAATGCCATTAGCGTTCCATGATGCAATTCGTAGTGACTTGAAAGCTATTTTGATATTTTGTTAATGACTGTATTTAACATGGTTAAAATCATGCTATTTTGGTTTAAGAGCTGAGAGAACATATCTTTGAATTCGTTTAGGAAATTTGATAGTTTATCTGCTAATTCATTGTTGTTATTTTTGTTATCTGCATTTATGTTTCCAATGGTAGCATCTCTATAACTGATTGTGTTGAAATTATGAGCATGATGTTGGGTAGGTATATTTACATTGGGATTGTTGGCAGGATTTTGAGTGGTGATTTGTTTTGATTTGTCATGGTATCTGACATTTAGTAGTTCACGATAAACAGAACATCCTCTGTAATTAGAAGAACGGTCTCCGTTGCAGTTATTGCAAGTGGCTGGCGTATTTTTTGGTTTCTTGCAGTCCTTTGTGTTGTGTGATCCAGCGCATTTTAAGCAATTATATAGGTTTGCACAGTACTTTTTAGTGTGACCATATTCTTGCCATCATGTACATTGTGGTATATTTCTTTTAATTCTCGGTGGTTCAACCCTTACTTTACAATGTTGTATGTACTGTAGTTCAAATATTTCTTTGTTTTTAATTTGAGACTCGAGATCCACAAAAAATAATGGTAATGATTTCCGGTTAAATCTGTGTCTGACATTTGTAACGTTCCTTACCTTATGACCCCTTTTATGGATTTCCGCTTTTATTTCATCTATCGGAAAAGAGTGATGTAGATTTCGAATAACTGCTCTGTATGATCTGTCTTCTTAGGTTGGTATGTATGGTGGACGATATTTTCCTCTCGTTACGTGATGTTTTAGTTTTCTGTAGAATTCAGGTCGCATTTAAGGTCCAAGTACCTTAAATGCGACATCAATAAAAAAACTGAAATCATTCGAGCTGTGGGTGTATAGAAGAATACTGAAAATATCGTGGACAGAACACGTCACAAACAAAGAGGTTATGGGAAGAATGAATAAAGAAATGGAAATTTTAAATACAATAAAAACAAGAAAATTGGAATATCTCACACATATTACACGTGGAGAGAAATACACCTTGCTCCAACTGATTATGTTAGGATAGATCCAAGGACAGAGAAGCAAAGGGAGCCGTAGAATGTCATAGCTGCGCAACCTGAGAGAGTGGTATGGATGTACATCAAATGAACTTTTCAGAGCAGCCGTCTCAAAAGTTCGAATAGCTATGATGATTGCCGACCTCTGCCGCGGAGATGGCACTTGAAGAAGAAGAAGGATTCAGGTGTCTTTGGTAAAATTTTTATTGTGTTGTTTGTTAAGGCTTTAGTGAAGTAAGTTTCAACTCTTACTGCTTGAGCTAAATTATTTATCATTTTACTATAGTCATTCACGCCATATATAAAAATTGGAGGGGGTTTTGAGATTGGTGGATTTTTATTATCATTTACGGAGTTTTTCTGTAGAAGTGGCTGAAACCTATTTGAGCGTATAATTGGAACTTCTTCTTCTCTTGAATCTTGACGTTTTAGCCTTTTTCTTTTTGATCTTGATTGGTTGCCATGTGTGTTTATTGTTTTGAGAGTCTTCACGTTCTTCATCTAACATCGAATTATATTCATTCTGTGTTTCTGGATTGTTTTTTAAGTTTAAGTTAACTTGGGAGTTTGATGTAGAATGAGAAAAGTTGGTTTGCTGGGCAACTACTGGCTGTACCTGATATTGTTGTTGATAATTATCAAAAGGTATCATTTGGTTGATTTTTTTTACATTGACTGGATAAATAAAAATTTATTTATTTACCAACAATTAATTTAAATATACCAAATTTCCAGAAGATTAATAATTAGTTAGCACAATTACAATTATCTTTAGAAAACCGCCAAAGTTAATATTTATCAGGGATAATCCCAAAATTTATACTAAAATTAACCATTGTGTTAAAAAATGTTGTAATCTATCAATTGTTACGTTATACATACACACACACACACACATATATATATATATATATATATATATATATATATATATATATATATATATATAATGATTACTTAATTAATATTTTATTAAGTGTTACCTTGGTTGAATAATTTTCTTTTCGGTCAACTGGTTTAAATTCTACAATAAATTCGTACTTTTTATTAGAATCTATCTTGACTGGTTTTGAAGGATAAATATGGAAATTTTCACATTCATTCGAAGGTATAGGTTTGGGAATTACAGCTAAGCTAAAATAAAAAATATGAAGTGAAGTAAATTCGTGAACAAAAGGAAATTAGGTAGTGTAAAGAGAAAGCTAATTCCAACGTACACTATATAACGGTTGCATCTCTTAGAATGATGACGTGTAGTAGACTAGAATCTTCCATATTGCAGAGGATCTGCGGGATATACTACGCGGCCAGCGAGACGTTCGTAATAGCGACGATAGAGATGGACTATTCCAGAAAATTTTGGAAACTTGTATTTGTATATATAAAAGCCGCGTTGATATTAGTTTAGATTAGTTGATAAGATATTTATTTATCCATTAAGATATATATACAATAGACACATTCCAACTCATTCAAAATTTCAAAAATTTTTAAAAAAGATTGAAAAAACTGGGACCGTAATTCCTAATTGCACCTGTATAAACAATATTGCTGCGGTATCTGGAAATTTAGAAAATCAAAACTAAATCAATGTATCATATTAATAGCAGTAGCTGAAAATCCTACAATAAGTTCTCGAACCATTGCAGACCGCTTTGACATTCATAATTCCACAAAATTTTTGAAAAGAAATAAATTCCGTACGTGCAAATTGCAATGTCAATAAAATTAAGAGAAGGGGATGCTGAGAGACGAACGGAATTTTGTTATCCATTCTAAAGAGGGTCAATGCAAACAGATATCTTTTAAAAAAGATTTTGGACATTTGTACAAGATGTATATAAATCAGCGATGAATCTACACATGTTTAAAATGATGGGATTTGGTCGACGAGAAAATCTGAGAATATTATTGAAAACAATACCCAATATCGTCAAAAAATAAATGTCTGGTTAGAAATATTTATTCACATTATTTTCACATAATATTTATTCATATTATTGGACCATTTGTCTTTGAAAAAATTTAAATTAAGAAAAGTTTTTGAACTTAATAAAAAAAAGAGATTTTAGAGCCACTTGCAGAAATGACTAAAGGTGAAGAAGAAATTTGATTTCAAATGTATGGGTGCCTTACGCACTCAATTAGAATAAGTTCACAAATTCAGATACTTAAGAGTACTACTAAATGATAAGTGGGATCCAGATACAGAAATAAAAACGCAAATAGAACAGGCTAAAAATAGTCATACGTAGCATAATTCATTGGTGTTTATCAAAATACTCATACTAACTTATCATTTGGAGCCCTGTCATCTTTTTTAGTATATTTGTTTCCTTTTTTGTTGATGTCTTTTTTACTTTTGTCTTTTACAGAAAGGGTAGAAGTCGTTCCTTTTTTCCTTGTCCTGAAAAATCATCAGTTAACAAATCAATATCTATGACAACAATTAACAATACATACTATAAGAATATAACAAAGAGCACTAAATAAGTATAATAATATAAATAAATATTAAATATGTAAATACACTCCACCAAAAAAGTATCGCATCACCTATGAAACTGCAAATTTTGTATTAAAAACAATTTAAAACATTGATTTTTTACTGTTGTGTTTTTTTTGTTTTTTAAGTACAAAAACGAATATTTTATTTAAGTTATTTCATAAATTAGAAGTAAGTGCACAAAGATCATTGAATAAAAAAAAATTAAAATTAAAAGTAATGATAATTTAAAAAGACGTATGACCTCCTCTAGCTCTTATAACATCTAGACAAGGTTGTGGCATACTTCCAATTAATCTTGATCGATATTATCCCATTCTACGGTTAACAACCGTTGCAGATCCTGAAGATTAGCTGGCGTCACATTACCAGATCTCAGCCTTCTGTAAAGATGGTCCCAAACATGTTCTATTGGATTTAAGTCCGGGCAGTGCGCTGGACAATTCAAAACTTGTAAATTTACCTCTCGAAGGTACTCGGTAATGATTCTTGTGACGTGTGGGCGTGCATTGTCATGCATTTAAACAAAGTCATTACCAATAAATGGGACGTAAGGAACAACATGCATCCCCAAAATTTCTCGAATGTGCCTATCAGCAGTTAAGGATCCTCCATATAACTGTACCAATTTGGTTTGACCTTTAAGAGATATTCCGCCCCAGAGCAAAATATATCCTACTCCAAAGTTTGTCGCTGGTGTTAGATTTCATTGAAAATAATGCTCGCTATCTCGTCTATAAACTGGTATTCTTTGATCCTAAGTGTATAAACAAAATCTTAAATCATCCGTAAAGAGATTTTACCCCAGTTGTCGATATTCCAGTTTAAGTGCTCTTAGACGTGACGTGCTATACGGTGTTCCCTTGTAAGTCTAGAGGCAGTGACAGCTACTCTGGCACTAATTTTAGACTGTCTTTGCACGTGCCTAACAGTTTCTGAAGGCACACGTACATTTCGAGTCTCGGCTGTCATGTTAAAGTTGACTTGCAGTCACATATCTTCGAAGCAAAGCCTGAAGGACTTAAAAGCTATTCTCCACATGCGTAGTTGCTTTTTGGCCGATATGTTATAGTTCGTCTTTCATAAAGACCTGTCACTCGGTACCTTATTACCACTCGTGATACTGTCGACTGATTTACACCCACTAAATTTGCCACATATCTCTGACTGCTTTTGTCTTCAATGAGGGAAATTATTTTAACCACTTGATCTCTCGTTAAATTTAAATTTATATTGTCACGATTTTCGATACTCAATATTTAATACGAAATTTTAAATGTAACAATAAAACACTGAAAACTTTGTTTTAAAACTTCCACAAAATTTATTTTAACTATTATCACTACAGCTGTTTCGGCTGATAGCCTTTCTCAAGTAATCTATTTTTGGCATGCGTTTACAATTTATACACTCTAATGAAATAGGTTGAGGAGGGGAGAACTGTTTGTCTTAAGTTGGTCATTCAGAATTATATCTGTGTTTTTTAATTTATTGATTTCCATAGATTCTAACAAAGATAGCTTAAGGCCTTTATTTTGAACGTGAAGAATTTTAAATTCGTCATTGAAAGAATGATTATGATCTAGAAGGTGAAGTGCGTATGTCGAATCTGTTTTTCTATTCTTGAAAGCCCTTTTATGTTCTGCTATTCGTTTCTCAAAGTTTCTACCAGTTTGACCGATGTAAGTTTTTGGGCAGTCGCCACATTGAATTTTATACACACCACTATTTAAGTGTTTTTTATTTTGGCTCTTGTTATTTTTAATATATTTACCTAGGTTGTTATTTGTTCGGAAAGCTGGTGTTATTCCTTTCTTTTTTATATGTTTGGCAATTTTTGTTGTTATTTTGCCTGTATATGTAATCGAGCAGAAGGTACTGGGTTTTTTCTCTGGTGGTGGAAATACTATTTAGAAATAATCATTCTTTCAATGACAAATTTAAAATTCTTCACGTTCAAAATTAAGGCCTTAAGCTATCTTTGTTAGAATCTATGGAAATCAATAAATTAAAAACACAGATATAATTCTGAATGACCAACTTGAGACAAACAGTTCTCCCCTCCTCAACCTATTTCATTAGAGTCTATAAATTGTAAACGCATGCCAAAAATAGATCACTTGAGAAAGGCTATCAGCCGAAACAGCTGTAGTGATAATAGTTAAAATAAATTTTGTGGAAGTTTGAAAACAAAGTTTTCAGTGTTTTATTGTTACATAAAATGAATTTCCATCAAGTAACGGTCGAATCCATCAATTACGAAATTTTAAATTAAACGCAAACTGTATACTTTTTTACAACAGTAAAATAAAGACTGATAATATAAAAACCAGACAAAATAGCAATTAACATTTTTTTTCTTAAACAGTAAGCTGTGTTTACACATTTTTTTTTAATATTTATTTTAGCCTTAATATTCTCAAGAGCCAGTCTGAAAAAATTTAAGTTAACCAAATACCGTCAGAAATATTTATAATTTTATAAGTGATGCAATCCTTTTTTGGTGGAGTATATATTAATAATAAAATAAAAGTTATAAACTAATTAAAACGCATCACATATGGGATTTTAAAAAAATGCTAAAATTAGGCAAATTTAGGAAAAACACATCAGAGAGGATATCGAAAGCTCAGCCCAATGGATATCGACGCGGTTCAACCCGGAAGACTGGTGAGTTTAATATTAATTTTTATAATAGTATTAACCTTAGCTCTAGGTTTAATTGTAGTAACCGCGGAAATCTTTCCGAACACACACACACACACACACACACACACACACACACACACACACATATATATATATATATATATATAATATATATATATATATATATATATATATTATATATATATATATATATATATATATATATATATATATAATGGCAATGGGATTGTTAGTAATTCTGTATAATAATATAATAATAAGATCATACTCTCTCTCTGTGGCTGGTGGTACATCAGGTACTACAATTTCGGGTTTCATAGATTCAACTGGACCGATATCGATTGGTGGTAAATCTTCATCCGATAATATAATCTTGGCCTCAACTTGACATGGTGTTTTGTTGATAACGAACATGCTATATGTGCTAGTATCTCCTAGTTTTGTTTTTCCCATATCTATAAACGAATCTTGTGGTTTTAATAGTTTCATGTTTACTTCCACCCCATAGCCGGTAATCTTAACCACTTTTCGCATACAGTTTAAACTAATTGGCACTTTAAATTCGTGTGAACCTTCTGACCTTGGGTGAAAGTATATTGGAATTTTCTTTACGCAATTAGCAGCGATTTTGATTTGTTTAAAGTCTACTGTTAGATTTTCGTTTTCTGGGAAAAGATTTTCTAATCTAAAAATAAATATTTCTGTAATTAAAGAATACAAACATGGTTAAACAGCATGGTATATTTTATTTATATTATACAGTTCGTTGAGTTTTGGATTAGATATTGCACACTACATACAGCGCTAAAATCGGCAACATTGCCTCTCCATCTACTCAATTATAATTATCCGATCTCGTCTGACACCTAGACAGAAAACAAGAAAACAGAAAACCATTTAGTGAAACATTAAAATGCATGGGATATTTATACTTCCGTCCGTCGATTTTTGTTTTCATTAAGTATGCTCATTAAGTAGGTTCATTTCTTATAAGATAAAATCGATAAAAATACACTGACCTTTATAAGGCGGTGCATTTGTATAGTTTTTAATAATGTGAACAATTTTTTATGGTTGATTGGTTAATTTAAAAAATAAAAGTGCATTTCTGTAAAAAGGTAAAATAAAAAATATACCCTTATTGAAAATAAAAATAATTTCCAATAAAATAAGAAACAATTATTTATGCTCTATAGAAATGATTCCTCTGCGGACAGATGAAACAGTTTCTGCTATAACAGAATTTAAGACTTCTCTTATTCGGTTTTTTAATTCATCCAAATTTTGGACCCTAGCCTCAGCATGATCGTAGATGATGCTTTTTAAATGTCCCAAAAAAAGTTCGTGGGTGTAAGATCTGGAGATCCAGTAGGCTACTTAATATCGCCTGTTTCATTTATAACTCGATTCGGAAAAGTATTGTTTAAGTATTCCCTAATTATTCGAGCGTTGTGAACTAAACAGCCGTCTTGACAAGCAAACACTCTCCAGATTTACATCAGGAAGATTGAGAATAGAGAGAAGAACATGACTGTGTAACAAATCGAGGTATAATCTGCTATTCAAGTTGCTCTCAATAAAAAATGGACCTATTATGTGGTCTCCTGTAATACCACTCCAGACGTTAAGTTTTTGAGGACGTTGAGTTCGGTATCCAACACTTCTGTGCTGGTTTTCCCGCGCCCCATACCTCATAATGAAAGGATTGTGTCTTTTTGCTAACAAAACAGAAGAGATTCATCAATGAATAAAATTTTTTTAATAAAATTTGGTTAATTAGTAGCCTTCGTTATTAGAGTTTCACAAAACTCCATTCTTCGAAAGTAGTCCATTCGAAAGTATTTTCCAGAAAGATGTTTATTGAATTTAACTCCACAGCTAGGGATCACCCGTCAAGATTAGCAATACAATTTAATCCTAGAATACTTAGATTCTTTTTTAAAATTTTTGAAATGATCTGATTTATGCGCTTATTAAAATTTACATTTAATGCATTAAACAAAACTCGAATTTTTTGTTATAAAATAAATATAGTGCAGGGTCGTATTTTGTTTTGCCAATAAAAAATATGTTTCAGGCTGTAACATACCTCCCCCAACCTGAATGGGAGTAATAAAATTTATATGTATTAGAAGAAGGTGTTGATAAGTAAAGAAAAAAATGAAAGAGAGAAATATGCTTAATTATTGCGAAAAGAGGAGATAAAACTTGTTTTTTTGTCAAACAAGATCTCCTGAACCAGTTCTAATTTTGACTGCGCGAACATGATTATCTAAACCCACGGTTCGTAGACTTACTACGGTTGCCTCTTCCGACTGGGGTGGGGATGCTTGAGTTACGTCACCAGAGTACAAGAATACAAAACCCATTTATTATCACAGTTTGTTCGTGATAATTATCTTTCAGTTATTATTTGCTTTATTATTTATCGTTTCTTAAATCTTAGTTTACTTTATATTTTTGTATTTGAAAATTTGGTGTTGTATTCTGAAAAAACTTATTTTTAATTAACGAAGAAAAGTTATTTATTGTAGTTGTACATCGTACCTATTGTAGAGTACCTTACATAATAATATCTTTTTATAAGGTAGGTTAAAACTTGAAAATTTCATTCTGATTTGATTTGATCAATTCTGTTTATTATTATCATTATGTTATAGAAATTTCGGGTAAAAACTTAAAATCTCACGATGTTTAAAATCAAACAAAATGTGAACATACAGCAAGAAGAGATAAAAGAGTAGCAATGAAAACACAAACAGCTATCATTGAATACTTATTAGAAAAATATTTAAACAAATGAAAAATAATTATGCAGTGTTTATTTATATCTATTGGAAATACAATACACTAGTTACGTTTTTTAATAATTAAAATTTATTGCATATTATTTAAATGCTTACATTAAATTATACAAGTAATTCTAACTCGCATAATCCTCGCTAACCTCCAAGGGCCGGTAATTCATTCAATAGTTAATAGTATTGATAATTCAGTATATGCGACAAATTTTCAGTATAAAATGGAGATTGAAGTCCTAGATTTACGTAAACCTACAACTTTATTCTGATTAATTTTAAGTACCAAACTGCCTATATATCAACAGTTTTCCATAATTAGGTATTATAATCCACTAAACATCTTTATTTCAGAACTATCTTTACTATTTTCTATACATCAAAGACATGAAAACGGCGATTAACAATGTTACGATTAAAATTAGGTCACGAGAGTACAGTTTCGGTCTGCATCGGTTAGTCGGAAGAGGCAACCATAGTAAGTCTACGAACCGTGATCTGAACCAAGAAAAACTTTAAGTACTTTGGAAGTGGGTCATTTTAGAGGGGAAGAATTGTCATGAGTAAGTAATAAATTGACAAGAGAATTAGAGGGATATAATATTGGATGTTTTTGTTCGTAGCAGATGTTGTTATTAAGGATTTACTTGTTGTAATCCCTTTACTTTTTACTTCAAGATTTTATTTGGAGAGTTTTAGGTATTGCGCGGCCTTAAAGTATTGATATCGAGACAGATCGCAATTCGTCCAGAGATAAAATTTTAAGTTTTCTATGAGAAGAGTGTCTTGCATTGAAAGAGATTCCTTAGAGGTAGGCAATGGTACGTAATAAGTAGAAGTTTGAGAAGAAGTTATTGAATCTTCCGTTGTGATTTATCCGCGTGTGGTCATGAGAGATGATAATTTTTATTCTGGTAACGATACTTTGGTGGATTTCGGATTAAATTCCGTTAGTTTTAAAAAATTTTTAAACAAAAATTCGAGATCTTTTCACCACATCCGAGCATTTAGAAATTCCTTAGCAGTCAAACCACGAGATAAGCAATCAGCTGCATTTTACTGAGTATAAACGGCTGGAATAAAGAAATTTGAAGTCAGGTGCTGAATTTAAGCTACTCGATTCGCAACATAGGTGCTCCAACCTAAAGTATGAAAGGGTCTGATTTATGAGTTTATAAAAATTTATATTTGTCATTTAACAAAGCTAGAATTTTTTGCAATCAAGTAAATATATTTTGTCGTTAAAGAAATGTTGTATAAATGCGTATTAATAAAGAACTATGTTACAGGGCTGTAACAATAAGTATAAATATTGGTTCGACTTACTTTACTGGTTGTGGTTCACGATTTTTAATTTCTAGCTGCACTTCGTAATATTGTCTAACTCCTTGCTGGATAACGCAATTACCAAAATCATAATTCGTAAAAGAAAAAGAGCAAACGGCGAATTCTGCCGATAAACTAAGTTTTATGTTATAAGTTGGACCATATGGAATCTACAAAGTCCAAACATAGAAGGAACACAAACTTTTCTTATGTAATACTTACCACTAACTTTATTGGAAAATTGCTGAGGTTATATTTTTTACCAGTCTTTATCAACAATTCCGTCGTAACTGTTGTACCGCTGGCAACAAATTCCTTATCTGTTTTGGCAGTAACGGCGACTAAACATTCAGTGTTATTATTTTTTATAATCCAGTTGTAAAAGAAACCTGTGATGCCATCGTTTACTATGGAAAATAGGAGAATACTCTTGGTTTTTATGCCAATCTAAAATAGTTTAAAAATATATTATAATAAGTTTTTTTAAGGAAATTTTTTCTTTTGTTTTTTATTGGTATCTATATTGTGCTAACTAGTGATAGCACAGCGCAAACGAAATACTTTGAACAAACCAAAAACTGGTATTATGCAAGGATTGAAGAACTAACTGGTTTCAGACATGAACCTAGTTACTTTACAAATGTTTTGAGATTTAGGTAACAGATAGAGGAATAAAATTTACATAATAACGAGAAACATAAGAAAAAACTATCTTATTATGTTTAAATAAAGATCTTGCAGGATGTGACAACAAATTAATGTTTTAAAGCTATTTCTTGTGGCATTTTATTTTTCTTAGCCTTCTCTCATCCATTTTTGGACATGGCCTCTTCCAACTGTTTTCATTGAGTTCTATTCTGAGCAACATATTTTCAGTTTATTCCGGCTATTCTTTTCATGTCGTCCACCCATCTGTGGTCTTCCTCTTGGTCGTCTACCGTTGTAAGGTCTCCAATAAGATTGTAAGGTTGTATTGTGGCGTTCCAATGTTAGTCTTTTTGTTTAGTAGTGAGACCCGCGAAGCCAAATTTAAGTTTGGCAATTTTTATTGTGATATTTTCACCTTTTGTTTTTGATCTTACCCAGTCGTTCCTCTTTATATATGACAATCGTATTCCTTACATTGCTCTTTCCATTGCCCTTTCTGTTGTGGCTAGTTTATTTATATTTGCCTTGGTTAGGGTCCAGTTAACACATCCGTATGTTATGACAGAAATGATGCATTTCTTAAACACTTTGCTCCTCAAATATTGAGGTATATTTGCGGTTTTTGCAATATCCAATGGAGTTTTTTAAATCCTGCCCATGCCAGTTCTGCTCTTCTAGTGATTTCCGCAATTTGGTTGTCTTAGTCAAGTTTCAAAATTTGGCCTAGGTATATTATATTTCTGGAATTTTTCTATCTCACTGCCATTTATATTTATACGTCTGGGATCGTCTGTGTTCAAGTGTCTGTGTCAAGTTTCAAAATTTGGCCTAGGTATATTATATTTCTGGACTTTTTCTATCTCACTGCCATTTATATTTATACGTCTGGGATCGTCTGTGTTGGTCATTGTTTTTGTTTTGATCATATTCATTTTAAGGCCGTCGTATCGGGAGCTGTCTCCGGGTTCCTTCATCATAATTGGTAATTCCTTGAATGTGCTCGATATAATTACGATGTCATTAGCGAATCTGAGGTAGTTTAACTTGTTGCCTTTAACATTGATGTCTTATGTTGACCAATCTGTAGTTTTGAAGACATCTTCTAGGGCTAGATTAAAGAGATTTAGAGATATTACATCGCCTTGTCTAACTCCTTTCCTTTCTTAATAATGATTTGTATCTTCATCTAGTTGTACTATTATAGTTGCGTTTTCATATGTATTATGTATTAATTGCCTATATCTCAAATCCATTATACAATTAATAATAGCTTGTTCTATAGCCCACATCTTGATACTATCAAATGCCTTTTCATAGTCTACGAACGAAAGGAATAGGGGTAAATGGTACTCATTTGCCTTATCTGTCAGTGTTTTCATTGTCAGCAGATAGTCTGAGGTACTATATCCTTTGCGAAAGCCAGCCGGTTGGTAATTATCCATTTTGTTAGTCAACCTATTGTTAATAATTCTTACCAACAGTTTGTATTCTTGACTGAGCATTGATATAGTTATAATTCTTTAGGTAACATTTGTCTCCTTTTGTGTATAAGAGTACTACCAGACTCTCGTTCCAGTCTTTAGAGATTTTGCTATTATGGAGACATCCATAAATATCTCTGTTAGTATAGGGGAATTGTTACTGTCTTGCTTGTTTTTAAGAGCTCAGCAATTATACCGTCGTGTCCTGGAGCTTTATTATTTTTTAGCCATTTTAAAGCTCTTTCTATTTAAAATCCCTCTATGTTCGTGTACTTCTGATCCCACGTTTCTATTTTTTCTTTGATGTTTTTTTGTTGTTTCATTAGGCTGGCTTTGCGAGCTGTTCAAAGTTTTGTAGAAGTCTTCTTCTACAGTCTTCTATAAGTCCTTCGCTTCCATATTATTGGTGTCTTTAATTTAATGATTTTTTGGACACCCCGTGTTGGTCTAAGACATTGTAGGCCTCTGTTGTTTTTAATGGCTTTGCTCTATTTAAGTTTTCTGTCCATTTTTTTATGTCGTGCGTGGTAGTTCTTTTTTAATTGTTCTATTAAGTTCTATGTCTAGTTGTTTAGTTTTGTTGCTTATTTTATTTTCTTTAATTCTTGTTTTCTTTGCGACCTGTAATCCAGCTTCGAGAAGGTTTGTATTAATTTTTTTGGTAATGTCATCAATTTTTTCTTGATGATGTGAAAGATCTGATTCGAATTTACTCACTGAGACCTTTCGAAATTTCTCTTCATATGTCCTTATTTTAAAGGCATCTATCCATTTAAAGGCATTTATTTCCAATTGTTATTATTATGTTGTTTATTGTTGCGACGTCCTTTAAACATTCTTTTGTTGTTTGTGAGAAAATAGTCTATTTTATTTTTGGTAATTCCGTTAGGTGCGATTTATGTTCACTTTCTATTGGATTTCTTTTTGTTATCATTTACTATTTTTGTTGAAAACTAACCACAGTTTCAATTTAAGACACTTTTAATTTGACGTTTTGGTCTCTACTACGTGCTCATTGAATCGTTCTCAAACTACAAATTAAACAAATTATTTTGCTTTGTTACTTGGTAATAAAAAAATGCTTCTTATAATTTAATTTAACCTGCCTCCTTAATATTGACAATGCAGGCATATATTACATATTTTAAAATAATTTAAGTAAGAAATTATTTTAAAAGATTGTTATGGTAATGATTTTAAAATAATATTGTCAATATTTTTAACGCGTCCCTGAGACGACTTTATTGCAGGACAGTGCATTCGATTAAATTAAATTAACTTAAACTTATAATACCCGTCAGAAAGATCACATCCTGTGACTTTTGTCATTGATTATAAACCACTACCTAGATAGCTCACTCTAAGGTAAAAATGAATTCAGTGTTAAACTCAGCCCACTTATACCTCTTTGCCCCTCACGCCTAAGTACTACCTGACTGTATGGTGGCGACATTCATTGAAATATTTGCCAAGATTGAAAAATAAGTTCCATGCTCCGCCAATTCTCTAGTGCAATAGAGGACGACGATATAAGGATGGCACTCAGCATTTTCACAAATAATTTTAACGTGCTTGTAATCTATATTATGAAATTCCGATTTTACTTCAGAAAAAACGCTAAAAATTGATTAATAAAAACAGTAAAGGTTTTCTAAAAATTATTTATTTATCAACACAATACAAAAAAATAACAAAATATAAAATACATAATAAAATTAGCGGTGATAAATTACATCTCATGTAAATTACTTTTTTGTAACTTTTCAAACAAATTAATTTCCAGAATTGATGTAAACCAAAATATTTCAAACTAAATATACCTACAGAATCCTACCTATCGCTCAGGTAGGAAGTCGAAACAGGTTGACACTTGCCTGGATGCCGGGACATAAGGGCCATCGTGGCAACGAGAAGGCCGATGAATTGGCCCGAGAAGGCGCATCTACGCCACTGGTTGATCCGGAACCCTTCTTTGGAATCGCAAATACGATAAAAAGGGCAGCCATACACAAATGGGTGCAACAGAAGTCTCTTGAGTGGTGGAACAACTTACCAGGACAGAGGCAGGCCAAACAGTTCATCAAAGAACATTCGGCTAAATTTACAGCAGACTTACTTTCGCACAGACGCAGGACTGTCAGAATGATAGTGGGTCTGCTCACTGGGCACTGTAGACTCAATAGACACTTGAGTCTCATAGGCCTGACAGAAGAGGACACCTGTCGTTTCTGTCTGGAAGAAGAGGAAACCGCTCTACACGTTCTGTGCCATTGCGAAGGTCTCGCACGAATGCGGTTTCTAGAGCTCGGAGAGGAAAAACCGGAAGCACCAGGCTACATGAAAAGGCCACTATCAAGGCTGTTGAGTCTCATTAAGAGGACCAAGCTAGATGAAGTGCTTTAAAATAAGGGGGGAACACAATAGATCTGCAAAGGTCGCAGTGTATCAGGCTCTATTGGCCGCCCCATTTTCTACATTCTACATTCTACCTACAGAATTTATTTCCAGATTTAGTCCATTCACTCACGGTAAAATATTCCAAAACCTCATAATTTTAAAGAATGAATGGGTTGAAATGAAATTTGGCTTACGCCTAACTAAGATGTCAAAGAAAAATAGATTATGCTTTTGCCCTATGGATTAGTATCACCTCTTATCGGGAGTGAAAAAATATATGTTCAAGATAAGTTTGGAAGTGCCTAAAATCAGTAATTCTAAGCAACTTTAGAAGGTTCTATAGAGTTTTTTTACTAAGTCAATACTTTTCGAGTTATTGAAAAATAGGTTCTTATTCGTCAAATTCCATGTTGAATATTTCAACATGAAATAATAAAAAACTAAAGCACTTTTCGACGAAAACTCATTACAACTTTTTTTAAAGTGTTTAAAAAAGGTTTATTTTTGTTAAGTTTCTTGCATAAAGAGTAAGCAAGTTATGACCAAAATATTCAGAAAAGCAAAACCAACATTTTTTTACTCTTTGTGATTTTTGGTGTCACTAATAATTTTAAGTTGTTTTGAAAAAAAACATTTTTTTTTCAAAATTAAAAAAAAATTGTTAAAAAATAACCCCTTTGAACAAATCAAACTTACAGATCATTATAATAATACAATAAAAACAATGACCAAGGTATTTATTAGAGAAATCAGGACACGCATTGAAATTATTGCAAGACAAGCATTTATAACAATGAAAAAAATGTTTGTTAATCGAGATCTTATCTAGTTTTAATGGGAAATAAGCCACAATTTTACTAAAAAAAGCATTTTATTAACGTTTCGACGCCCAAATCGGGTGTAGTTGTCATTGTCGTTGTTCCCGCAGTTTTTTTGCCAAATTTTTGTGCGCTCTACGTCTTTCAGGGAAAATTTAAAGAAAGATATATTATTATTTGTTCCATCGTTTTTTTCAAAACATCCCGCGTAAACACATTTATGCGTTACACAGGCCATTTTATCTAAAATGTGAGTCCTTTTTTTATAAAATTTAGCTATAACTTGTCACAACACTAGACACAGATAATACACTTATAGGGTAAGTTCGGCCCTGACACCACTCCTATCTCTTCGCAAGTCAGAGAGAGAATGAGAATCTCGATACGGTTTTCGAGTAACGCCATCTAGTTTTTGATACGTCTTTCGGCTACCACGAGGTGAGCTATCTAGGTAGTGGTTTATATTCAATGCTTGTGTTTAAAAAGACAACCACACCTAATCATGACAGCAAAGTTGTTTGTTACTTGTTCCACTGTAACTCAGGAGGAAAAATTAAAAGAACAAACTTTCCATACATGATAAGTCTTCTATAAATATATTTGCCAATAATTAATATAAAGCAGAGCCCATTACTAGACTAACATTTTGTTTATACAATTATTATTTCACATTTTTCAATGTGCCTTTAGTAAGTTGTCCTTCCATTATTTTCGTGTTCTTCCAACTGATACTCTTCCTATTAGCAACTGTGTCTCGCCATTTTGACTATTTGTTGTCATTGAGGACGCAAGGGAGATTGGCGCGACAATTAATAAGTTGACAACAGTAGGAAATGGACAGGACCAAATGGGGTTTTAGACCAGAAAATGTCGAAGATTAATTATGACTCTGAAACTACTGCTAGTTACAGTGAAAAACACCGATAAAAAATAGCGCAAAAAATTCGTTTCAAGAACTAAAATATTTAAAAATGAAGAAAGAATTGATTGGTGTGATCAATTACCTTTCCTAAATCAATAATATTTTCATTATTAGGATCCAACAATATTTCTTCTCCAGCTTTATTAAGATAGTGTACTACACATTCAATTTGTTGGCATTTGGCAGATACAGTGAGCGTTAGAGGTTTTGTCATTTTCTGGACTTCGCATTGAATGTAAAATGTTGCGTCACCAACCAGTTCGGCATTGTAAGTAATCCTAAAACATTAAAAATAATAATTTTTTTTACTAAAGTTGCCATGTTATTAGTTTTAATTTTCATGAAATGATGTTTGATTAATAAAAGGTGTTTCTTCTAAATAATTGATCCTATAATCATAAGAATTTAATACGTAAGTAGAACTGCATACAACCAGTTTCTTTACATTTACCACTAAAGATATTCTTTTACACCATGTTTTAAATTCATCTGCTACAGAGTTTCGTTTTTATGTGAGCATAAATTCAGTCAAAGCATCTACAGTAATAGTTGTGTCACCAGAATATAAGAATATGATATATGTAGCTATAAAATATTAAAGGTCCCAACACAGACATCCATAGTACACCTTAGTGAACATTAAATGTTGTTGTTGAAAGAAAGAAATAGGTGTATCGGGGTGCGAACGTTTTTAGCGAGATGGAAGCAAACTTCATTGTATTGTGAATTAGATAACATTTTATTCAAAAACTATAATTTATTTTTGAATATCTTGAATAAAGTTAGCCCATTAATATTGAAACAGACGACCGATATGAGAGAACCAATACCAGCATCAACAAAGCTGCCTTAACCTTTCGAGTCGTAGCTACTGTGGATTCATACAAAACTTAAATATATTTGTTTAAAAATTCTGATATTTTGTCTTGCACTATTCATGCCCACTGTACGCAGAATTATTGCAGAAGTTCTTCGTGAACATTATAGAGGTCAAGTTATTTTGACTCAATGTTGTTGTAATGTTGTTTAAACAAGTTGTTTACAAAAAAAAAAACAAAAACCCAACTGCTAAAAAACAAATTAAATGAAAATAGAAAATTTTAAGCTACCGAATATATCACATACGAATATTATACAGATAGAAAACAAATTGCGACATTAAGCAATGTGGAGTATACGGAACAATTATAAGTAATATTGCCGAAACAATTTTTCTAAAATTGCTGTATATCTCTTCACTAATTACTCCAGAGTTGTTGTTTTAACTTTGTATTACTTTGCAACTCAATAAGTTCAAGCTACAATTCTAGTTTTACTAATTCACATTCCACATTCAACTGCATGCTGAATATGTCCAGGTCTTGTTCGAGAACTTCGCAGTCTTGAAATCTTCGCTCAAACTCATCATTCAGACATTTCACGTTTTTTGCATAGCTCTTAAGATTGTCTTCCCTAGATGTAATCAACTTTAGCTTTGGAAAATGAGTTGAGTTTTTGTTGCTTATTTGTTTCAAAAATAGTTTCAATTGCATTTTAACAGTCCTGATAGGACCCAAAATATCATGGATTAATTTATTTCTTCTCTGGAGTTTAAGTTTTAATTTATTGATTTGATGTGACTGAGAAGATCTGTTAAAAATGCAAATTTCAAAAGCCATAAAATGTCTTTAAAATGTTTACACTCATATATTTCTTTCATGAAATGGTTTATTTCGTCTTTAAGATGCCAAATGCGATCAAAAACCTCACCTGCACTTAAAGATCTTACTTTAGTGTAGTAAAGTACATCAGAATGTTCATACTGAAAATCATGAAATTGTCTATGATTGAGAACTTGTGAACGAATGCTATTAACAAGCTTAATATTAACATTGAGCAAATGCTTCATGTTTAGAGCAGATTTACACAGGGCTTCTTGATGTACGACACAATAAAGAAATGCTACTTTGATTCCAGGAAATGATTTCTTAAATATGTCTAGGAAAGCAGATTTTGCTCGTCATATTTGGTGTTTCATCAGTAGTAATGTTAATATTGTGCACAGGTACTTTCATAGATGTGACAGTATCTTTAAATTCTTGAAAAATATCTGATCCTTTTAACGGTCCCTTCGTTGGGCGCATACAAGCTAATTCTTCAATAACACAAAAGTTTTCAACAATATCTCTTCACTACAAGCGCTACAAGACACTGCTTTATTATTTTTGTAATATTATATGCTACGACATGACTGCCACCGGTAGACTGATTTGGAAACAACTTTGATTTTTAAAATTATTTTGCTGATCTGACAGTTTTTTAAGTATGGCTCCTGCTTTTTGTTTCGTTCTGCTTCGGTCATAGCTTCATAGGTGGCAGTGGCGGCTTTTCTTTATGTGCTGCTGAGCTGCAGAACTACCAAACAACCATAGCAAATCTTAATTATTAAAGAATAATTAATATAGTTTTATTTCAAATCTGCCATATTATCATATTAAACATAAACTGTTAATAATAATTCACCAACAACGATGATTAATATTATTTTTTTTACGTATTTACTCCTCTAGTGAAACCGTATAATTTTTTTACGTATTTGGTGCTCCAGTGAAGCAATCTTTTTACGTATTTGCTGCTCCAGTGAAGCCGCGTCGATAACAACCGAAACACTGGCAGCGGTAAAATGCATTTATTAGGCAAACGGCGATCTTAGCCGATGTGCTTCGGCAATCGGCTGATTAACGGCCTCGGAAATGTGTTTGCGAGCTGCAATTCACGACAGTTATTCGTGACCGTTGCATCTGTGCCGTGTTTAGAAATTCTTAGGTTACAATTTTGTTTAATTTGTTTTGTTCGAGCGTGTTTAAAACAATGGAGTTTCAATTTAAATTAGGTGTAAATAAATTTCAAAAACTTCACTATCAACAACAGTTGATTATAAAAGAACGTGGCCGTCCTATGCCTGATCTTAATATTGAAGTGTCCGGTAAAAGCCGTGGAAAAACATATACGCGTAAATTTAATAAAGACATGTATCTACGAAATCAGTGGATTTGTGGATGTTCCGAAAAAAATGCTTTTTTCTGTTTTCCGTGTGCATTATTCGGCGCAGATAAAGAGGAAAAATTGTGGCGCGAGACAGGAGTGCGGGATCTAGTGCATTTAAGTGAAAAAATAAAGAAGCATGAAAACACGCAAACTCATATGAACAATGAAATGCGATTTGCATTATTTGGGAAACTTAATATACAGGCCCAACTTGACTCTGCTTATTGGATAAATATACAAAAACACAATGAAGAGGTGACGAAAAACAGGTATGTTTTGTCAAAAATAATTGACTGTATAAAATTCTGTGGGGCTTTTGAGCTCGCCTTACGAGGACACGATGAATCTGAAACATCAGATAACCCTGGAATTTTTCGTGGTTTAGTGAATTTTTCTGCTGAACTTGATAAAACACTTAGTGAACACCTTACAAATGCGACAATTTTCAAAGGTACCTCAAAAACAATACAAAATGATATTTTGGATTGCATGCTAGAAGTATACGCTGAGGAGATTTTAAACGAAATCAATGAAGCCCCATTTTTAGCAGTGATAGCTGATGAGACAACGGATGTTTCTATGAAATTTCAAATGGTCATTGTTTTTCGTTATGTAAAAAACGGTGCTCCAGTTGAAAGGTTTTGGACTTTTTTGCTTCCAGAAAAACATGATGCTGAAACCTTAGCTAACACAATTTTGAATGTTTTAGACCCAATATTAAAGAATAACAAAAATAAGCTCATTGCACAAAGTTATGACGGAGCAGCTGTTATGAGTGGGATACATGGCGGAGTGCAAACACTAATTAAGAGAAAATATGAAACTGCTCATTTTGTGCACTGTTACGCCCATCAATTGAATCTAATAATGTCAAGAGCATGTTCTATTAATTCCCAAGTACGCGTATTTTTTGGAGATTTACATGATATACCTGGATTTTTTAGTCATTCACCTCAAAGAATAGCTGTCTTAAATCAAATAGTTGGAAAAAATATTCCTCGTTCAATCCCTACACGCTGGAATTTCAATATTCGTACAGTAAATGTCGTTTACGAATATAGAGACTTTATTATTGAGTGTATGGAGCAACTAGAAGAAGAGTCAAATGCTATTACTTCCAAGGAAGCAAGAGGACTTAGACGTATTCTGGAAGATCAAAATTTTACTTTCTGGCTGACTGTTTTTCATTATATTATGCCACATGTTGACGTTTTGTACAATAATCTTCAAAAAAAGAACATGGACCCAACCGAAGCACAGAAAGCTATACATGTTTTTGAGCAAAGTATTAACAATGTCCGAAATAAAATAGACCCTATCATACATCAAGCTTCAAATTTAAATGCGGCGCCTAGTGTCCAAAAAAGGAAACGCCCAAATAACAGCCAACAGGATCACCGTATTGCCTGTCTAGAAGTTTGTGATGTTATTATAAACAATGCAAAAGAACGGTTTGCATATACAAATCATCTAGTTGCCGCAACACTTTTATCTTCAGAACATTTCGAAAAATATAATAATAAGTTTCCTGAAAATGAATTGGATTTAACTTGTACAGCTTATAACTTCTTTGATAAAAACCGTTTGCGAACAGAACTGTCAGTTTTGTATTCCAATATCGAGTGTAGAACATTAAAAGGTGCAGTGCCTTTACTAAAATTTATAATTTCTAATAATTTAGAGGACACATTAACAGAAACCAAAAAGTTGATACAAATTCTGGTGACTACGCCAATGACCACAGCAGAAGCTGAACGTAGTTTTTCAACTTTAAAACGGATCAAAACATTTTTAAGAAATTCAATGTGCGAAGACAGATTAACAGCCCTTTCCACACTCTCGATAGAAAAAAAGTTCATCGCTTCAATACCGAACTTTAACGATAAAGTAATCGAAAAGTTTGCGACAAAAAAGGACCGGCGTATTAATTTCCAATTTAGAAAAATGCAATAAATGTAAGTTAATCAGATTTTTATAGCATGTCGTTATTAGTTACTATTAATTAGTATTAAAGCTAATTTTATTGTTTTTGTTTTCGTATGTTATTCTATTTCTATTATTTTATATTGACCGTGGTTCATGCAGCACACCCTATAGCAGATGTCACGAGCCGCCACTGATAGGTGGCATTGTTATACAAAAATTAGGCACACAGGTTTATCTTTAACAAGCGTAAAAAAGTATTTACTTTACGTTTTTTTAGTTGTCCAATAAAAATGTACAAACAAAGCAAAACTATACAAACAGTTTTCACAGAAACTTCAGCCCACAAAGCTGCACACCCAAAATGGATGTCAAGCCTATGTGACTGTTTGAGTAATCGAACTATCCCTAAGAAAAGGTAAACTACACACCCGATACGTTCCAAACTTAGCCGAGCAACACATGCATTATACTCAACATCGCCTGGCAGAATGAGGTGCGGGGTAAGGAGATTGTGGTGGTGAAGGAATGCAAAGATCGAAGAGACAACAGAGAGAAACAGAGGGAAACATTTAAAATGCAGTGCTATGTTGCGTAATTTTTGGGCTTACTTAAAATCATGTCAAGGGCCTGATATAATAGCCCAAAGAGCCGAACTTGATCCGCGGGTCATACTTTGCCAATGTCTGCCCTAAACTAATGTGAATTGGTATAGTTCCACTAACCGTTATGAGTGTTTACTTCGCCATTCAATATAAGGATACACTGGTATAAATAACAACTATTATAAAGTAAATTTAGATTTTTGATTAGTGGTTTCATATTAGTAGTTTTTTTTAAAACCCACACATTTTAGTGTGGGTAAATACCCACACAGTCAGACACAAATTTTTAAAAAACAGATACAGGGATTGCACTCTTCTCGCCCAGGGGCCGATCAGGGCATTTTTATAAACGATAAGAGGTAGGCCTCGGACAGATAGGTATGTATACATTAAGGAAAGACATAAGGAATTAACAAAGATGGTTATATTTGTATATTTGTTGTTCTGACGAAAGACAGCAAACAATCGTAAATTTCTTTTTTTTTCTAAAGCAAGAAGATGCAGTACATTAAATGGGCTTTCAATGTTTAATTTTAAAAGTTTACTGAAAAGCTCATTAGATTGAGCTCTATATTTTAAACAATCAAAAAAGATGTGGTCAAGATCACCGATTTTATTACAGGCTTCGCAAAGATCACTCTCAAGTATTTTTATTTTAAATAAATGTGCTGGATAACATGCGTGACCAAACTTCATTCTGCTGATAGTAGTTATACTTTTTCGACTGTAATCGTACTCATTGTATCAAGGTTTTCTCCTTAATTTGGTTTCAAGTCTGGTGTAACGTGTTGGATTTGTGAAGCTGTACTCTTGCCATAAATAGGACCATTTGTTCATCATTCTCTGTTTTGCTATGATTATTTGTTCGTCTGTAGTTAATTCGTAATTTAGTTGTTCCCCATTACTATGCTTTCTTTGGCAATTTGATCTGCAATTTCATTGTTTGTTATTCCTGCGTGTGCTTTGTATTAGTTGTGTCTGTATCCTGATTTCGATTAGTTGTTTCTGTATCCGAATAAAGTAGGTGCCTCCTAGTGGTGGGATACAGGCAACAATACAGTCCTTACAGTAGGAATCCTGGCCCATACAGAAAAATGCGAACCGGTTAGGGGTTAGGTTGCACTTTGGTTGCATTGGTAGTGTGTTGGATAAATTTGTGTTGCATTAGTAGTGTGTTGGAAAAGACATCCAGGTACCAAACGTCCGAAAATATTTTTAAGTCATAATAATGAAAATACCTCTTTCGTTGTAATAAAAATTATACTAAAATTATTGCATCTACCAAGGTAAAATGTTCCGGTAGCAAACTGAGCCTCTGTTTGGATTTCCAGGTGAGGACAATTTCGGGGAAAATATCATTATAAGTTAGAAAAATTAGAATACGACCTTGGATTAGAATCTTGGAAGCATACACATATAATACAAGAGAGACTGATCAATGCAATACCAGCCCGTTCCACTTAGTGCTACAGAAAAAACGCACAGCACTCCCTGTATCTCTTGCAATGGATAGGTTACGTGGTCGATAAACCCGGTCCATTAGTTTTCTCAGTCGCACTGAGGGAATGTAATTGTGTTGCTGCAGTCGGCCTGTATTAAATGTCTTCGCTTGGAAGTCTTACAGATAAGAGTGTGGAGTAACTAGAGACGCTTAAAAGAAGAAACTTTGCTTTGCATTTAACAGAATAGGTGGAAAGAACAAATGGCGCGTTAAAGTCTTAACATATTATCAATAATTATTTAGTCTTTCCGTTACAATTAATAATAAAAATCACGCTTCGACATCATGGTACCGCCAATCCTCCTCGTCTCGATATAACAATTAGTAAAAATGGTTTCGTTTTAAAACAACATGCAAAATCATTATCAAAGCAAGTTTTATTTGGTCCGTTTTTTCGTTGAGGCACCCGCTCATAAAGTTGTTATTTCCATTTTATTTAAAAGGCAGGGTTACTGTCTACCTAGAAGTATGTCAGTAAGGTTTATTTAGGGTTAATGTCTACCTACAAGTAGGTCAGTAATGTTTATTACTTTTCGGAAATCTCATTAAAAGGTAGTAAATAGTTCAGTTCTATTTTTTGATATTATGAATTTCCTTCATAAATGTATCAAAAAAGACATCTGAAATTATAAACTACGCTTTGGAACGTTAATTATCATTATTTTGCCAATTTTTCTTTCCTATAAATTGTCAGCTTAAAGCGGCTTTTAATGAATCCTTTTCCTTTGTGTGCCGTGATTGTTTGCAAGCGTTGGCTATCGTCGTATTAACAAGCCGATGAAATGTTTCTCGATTGGCCGCTAGATGAAACAATTTCTCCACGGTTCGAGTTGTCCATTGTCTAATGTTACGCACCCAGGACAGGTGCTTTCTTCCGACCCAGCATTTTTCTTTGATTTTGCACTGAATTATCAACCGGAGTAAGCGATATTTAGGTCCTTTCATTATATGGCCGAAATATTGGACCCCTCTTATTTTGATGATGTTGATAAATTCTCGATCTTTGTGCATTTAGCTCTAGCACACGTTCGTTTGATATGTGTGCTTTTCACGGAATTCTGAGTATGCGACGGTAACACCACAACTCGAACACTTCTGATTTATTAAGATTTTTTATTTTTGTGGTCCAGGTTTTACTTCATAGGACAAAGCGGAGTAGACGTAGCACTTCAATACTGTTAGACGTGTGGTCAATGGCAGACTTTCGTTGCATAATACAGAACACTAGTTATAAAGTTTTTTCGTGCAATTTTTATTCTGATCGAAATTTCCTCGTCACTTTTAACCATGCACTTTAGTACACTGTTACCAAAAAGCACAGAGTAACCTCAATCATTTCGCAATTTATACGCACACTATCTAAATTCTTTTTGTACATAGTACTAACTAATCTACTAGTTAATCTAAGTTAAATACGGTTGTAATAAGTAGTTTAATATACAGCTTATAACAGTGCAATATATAATAAAGTATTTTTAAATTCATCGAACATTTCTTATTACTATTTTGACTAAGAAATTGTTTCCTCTGAAGTCTTCCAAGTCTTCACACTTAGCCAGTTTCAACGTCTGGCTCTTTACTGATGTAAAAGGGAAAAAATCACAACATAATTTGGTACCCCTGATAGGATAACACAATTTGATTGCATATTACCAACTCAGTTCACAACAGGGCAAAAGACTAGGTGAAGGATACAAATTGTGGTATGCAGGGAAAAGTAACACTAAGAATGAAGTTGGTATAATTACTGATAGAAAAATGAAAAATAACGTAGTAGAAGTTGCGCGCGCGCGCGCGTGTGTGTGTGTGTGTGTGTGTGTGTGTGTGTGTGTGTGTGTGTGTGTGTGTGTGTGGTGTGTGTGTGTGTGTGTGTGTGTGTGTGTGTGTGTGTGTGTGTGTGTGTGTGTGTGTGTGTGTGTATGTGTGTGTATGTGTGTGTGTGTGTGTGAGTGTGTGTGTGTGTGTGTGTGTGTGTGTGTTTTATTGGCACTGGTTTTGACAACCAACTGGCCAGTCAATTTGTTTTAAGTTCTCTCTTTACAAAAGATATTGTTAGTATTTACATTTAAAACTATTGAATTGTATTGACAGTTAAGACATGGAATGTTAGAAACTTATTTACTAGATTACTCTGTTTTTGCTGTTTTGTTTTTTGTATCTTTTTTTTATTTTTTATTTTTTTTTATTTATTTTTTTTTTATTTTTTTTATTTATTTTTTTTATTTATTTTTTTGATTACTACGCTAAGACATAAACCCGATTCGACACCTCGGAGGTTTAGATCTTCTTAGTATTTTTTTTATTTTGTTCTTCATTTCTTTTTTTTTATTCTTTATTATTTTTTTTTATCAGAGCTTTAATTTTAAACAATTAATATGACTATATAAAATTTTATATACATCTAGATTCTTTGACTCTAAAAGATGTGTTAGATTAGTAGAAGTTGCAAGAACGAGTGATACAATAATATCAGTGTTTGTACCTACTTGATAAAGAACTATTGTACATTGTGTGAACTGTCTGTATGTTGCAGTCTGTATGTCTCTAAATGTGTATACGGATACCTTAATTAAAAAAAAATCTACTTAACCTAAAACTTTAAATCTACTTAACATCAAAATATTAGCAAGTTATGTTAGTTTTCATATACGCTGCTGTATACATTAAAACATATATAAAAACTGCTACTCTTATTTTTTTTTAATACAAAAAAATCTTACTGCATTTCTAGGTCAGTATTAGGAATTATTGATCCACTTGTAGGAAAAATCTTAAGCTTTTGAAGGCAATCTTGAGACACCAAACTACTTTTAACAATTTTATACCATAATTCATCTTCCTCGTCGTTTCTTAGATATACTTTATCATCACATGGAACTGACAATAATGTGGGCTTCAGACAAAGATGAGCAGTGTTAAAGTAAACCTAAAACGTATTAAATCAATAACTATAAATGTAGAAAAAATGACAATAAAGGAGAAGCTAAGTACATAAAAAGCGTAATGTAGATAATCTAAATCTAAACGTTTTGCGTGGTGCAGTTCATTTCAAATAAAGGGAGAATATTCTGTATAATAACAATATATGCCAGTTTTTATTAAACACTTAGCACTTTTTATAAACTGTTAAAACCAAGGAAGAAAAAAAAAAGAAAATTCTAAATGAACATAGTGACCACAATTGTACCATACTTCTTTGGTTTCCTCAGGACTATGTTTTTTTATATTTATGTTATCTGTAAAATCGACCATTACTAATAACCCTTGTGGTTGAAGCAGTTTCAAATAAAAAAATAGAAAATTATAATCTGATAGCCATAAAAAATATACGGTTATTTATTTAGATCAAAGGTACTTCTTTGTAAGTCTTATCAAAAAATATATATGTGATAAAGTTTGTACCTCGCTATCTTTTCTTTATTTTTCTTTTCGCAAAAACAAAAAAGGAAAGAGAGTTTATTTTTGTAAATTTAACTTAAGTTTATTTTTAATTTGTCATTTTGGATTATTTTTTGATTTAGCCAAAAAATTTAAAATGCCGAAAGATCAATTTTGGTTTACGAAAAATTTGACGAAGAGTTGAAGCTAATCCATCAACGGTGTTAAGAGTTTGGAGGAGGTGATCCAATGATGAGACTTATCAATATTATGGAGGGTTTGGATGTCCTAGAATATTGTAAGGCCGTGATTTGTGTCATCTTAGAATTCTTGCTCCCAGAAATAATTGAGACACTGTATATTAAACAAGGGATGATTGAGTTGCAGCTACAAAAAGGGTAGTCTCAATAAGAGCAGTTAATCAAAGATTACTTGGAATGGGACTGAGATTTAACGTTCGCTTTTGTTGTTACCTTTAACACCACAGCACAAGGCTCAACGCTTAGAATAATGCAAAGATCGGCAAAACTGGAATGACCAAAGGAATTTGTCTGCTTCAGTGATGAATCTAGGTTTTGTTTGTGTGGCTTTGATGGGCGCATAAGGGTAAGACGTTTTTGAGCTAAGAGACAAAATATTAACTTGGCTGTTGAACGTCATACAGCAAGACAACCAAACATTATGGTATGGGTTGCTATATGTTTAAGAAGCACATCATCTCTAGTTCTTATTGATGGCACTTTGACAGCTACATAATTTTGTATGAAGTACTGCAACCGGTTTTACATTCCTATCTACAAACCATTTTAAATGCGATCTGTTAACAGGAAAACGAAAGACATCATATTGCCTATGAAACCTAGGAGTTTATACAAGAATTTTTTTTTGGGAGGTAAGAATCTTTAAAAGACCTCTGGGTAAGTGTCCCAGGAGTGTTTGATTCGGACGTCTACGTCTTACTGTAGCTCACCGCCTACTAACTAAATTCATCCCCCTCTTTCTCCAACCGACTGGTCTGGGACCGCTCTTAGCGCATAATACAAATACAAACCTTGTATCCTTATATTATGCTTTTAGAAAGTATTATTGTCTTACCCGTCAGCTTGCACATAACTCCCATCTGTCACTCTCCGTCTGCGCTTCGTGATTGTCATAGCATCTCAGTCGCACCACCACACCCACGTCTGCAACGAACTTGGTTTGTAATAAGGTAACCATTCTTGAGCAGGACGATAGGAAAAAGCGACTCCGCCGTTATTTCAACCATGTTAAACATAAAGATGGTAAAGAACTACAAGAATTGGGTATAGAGACTTTCAAGGGGTCATCAAGATCAGTTGATTTGTCACCCATCGAACATGTGTAATGTTTTAAATTTCATAAAAATCAGGAAATTGGAATACTTGAAGCACATCATGAGAAGGTGAAAAATACGAACTACTAAGGAATATAATGCAGGGTAAAAACAAAGGCAGAAGAAGCGTAGGAAATTGTAAAGACGTAAAATCTCGTGGCTACGCAATCTCCGTGAATGGTTTGGATGCAGTTCAATTAAACTATTCAGACGCGTCACCAACAAAATTATAATTGACAGAATGATCTCCAATCTCTGATAGGAGTGGAACTTGAAGAAGTAGAAGAACATGTGTGGAATATGGTAGGTCAAAACCTAAATCGATTGCCACGACCTCCAGCAAACTTAGAAGACCTGTGGCACGCCTTAAAGAGGAATCTTGATAAGTATTTAACAATATGATATAGACCACCAATTAATCCGATCAATGCCTCATAGAGCTACTGAGTGTAAAGAAAATCAAGAAGGATTTTTTGACGAAAATGACTTGTTTCTAATGTTATCAAATAATGAGAATATTATAATGTACACATATAAATAAATATTTAAAAAAGTATTTGTCCTTTAGGTGTTGGATTTTTTGACCATCAGTATATAAAATTTTATACTACTAGGAAATATTTGACGGCAATAGAAGCGAGACCCAAAAAATATGAGGGATTATTAAAAAAGAGAGTTATTCCTTGCCTTAATATTTATTTTACCAGTGTATAATCGCCGTATTTCACAATTATTAAAAGACGTATGGTAGTTTGTTCTTTTATTCTATATTTCCTGTACTATGGTTCATTCACTTTACCTATGTTAGAGGTATTTCTTCAGATGAAAGTGTCCAATTATCATCTCAGTGGCTGTCTTCAGCTCTTATCTGTTAAGATCCATTAGATTAGCCGAAAGCCTGCTGTTAAAATGTTAACATTTTTATTTATATAGGTTCGCCCTCGTAAGGCCCAAAAGTTGTTTAAACTATTTTCGAATCTTTCGTAGTGTTCTGGTTTAGTTCTGGATCGTGGAAGACTAATGTGTTAGTTCAACTCGTTGGTCTGATTTATGCCCCGGTATCCATATTATAAAGGCATTTTATAATATGGATTTATAGCGTCACTATTTTACAGTCTTTTGTCAGTTATAATTGGATAAGTGGTTTTTTAACTTTATTATCGCCGCCTGGGTATCGGTATCGGTAAAGATAGATATGCATATTTTTAGCCCTGTAGCTCTAATGATATCATAACCTAGGCTGTTAGGGCAAATACCTGACTCTAGAAGACTGTAGAGTTTAGACTCAAAATATAGCATTTTCTGTATAAAAACTCCACTTCACAGAACAGTTAAAAAATAAGCAAACTAATTTTAGTATAAATTGGCTGAATATTAGTTAAAAATAATTAAAATAGTAAACAAGATGTAAAATAAGACGATAAGAAAAAGAAAAAAGAAAATTGTAGAAAATTATATCCAATAATTCACAACCAGAATAAATTTACGTACTTTAGGATTGGTGCAGTTTCCAACAACCAAAAAATAAGTTTCTGATTCTTTTTCTTTAACATTAAACAGATATTCTTCTTCAAAAGTACCAATTTGTTGAGGAGTAAAACAAAATGAAAGTTGGCACTTTTTTTCGTTTTCAATAATTCCACAACTTGTTGGACAATGGAAGTAAGATAATGTGTTTATATCTCTAATCGGTTCCAATTTATAACTAAGGCTATCTCCACTGGTATTCACAAGTATAAATGATCTAAAAAATTAAATTTACGTTATTATAGGACACCTCACTTAATAAAAACTAAAATAAATTATTGAATAAAATAATTAATTTAAATAAATTATAATAAAATTAAATAATTTATATAAACAATTTATTTTCTATACCATTCGTGATAAATTCATGACTGTCCTGAATAACGTATTAGGAGGTAGGATTTATTTAAGTATTAACATTCTTAGGGCGATGTGGTGACGGCTGATAATATTATTCTGTGGTAGGGGGTTGATTCGAGATTATAAAAAATAAATTAAGAAGGCCAAAAGCCTATTTTTTAAAAAAAGCTCAATCCTTTTGTTTTTATTGGAGATGAGCTTTTTCGTCGAATTCCCAATTTTTTTCATCTAAATAGTATAAGATCCCGCTGCATGATCCCTACGTTGGGAACGTAGTTAATCAAACTCAAATTTTTACATACGTTTGAAAATATAATAATAATAATAATAATTACCCACCTACTATTCCTATCAACTACTGGTGTAGTCCTCGCGACTGCCAGATGTTTATGAAAATTTTTGGGAGATACTCCAACATACCAAGTCACCTGGGCTCGATAACACGGAAAGAGTCCCACCAGAGCTCAATTCTTTTGATACCTTAGGTATCTGGGGTAAGTAAATTTTCCCCTTAGAGGGAGTGTGAGCCGTATGGCTAAATCTGGGGGATAATAATAATAATATAATATTAATCCCCTCAGTGCAGTAGAGAGAACAATATTACCGCTATATAAAGGTTTAAAAGGACTTATAGACATAGGTGAGCAACTGGATAAACAGGTTGTTAATTTAAGAACTTATTTTCAGGTGCAGGCTAAGACACCTATTTTACATCGAGAAATTTGCGCAGTAGATGATACAATACCACTTAAACTGAGGGAACAAGAAATGCGCATAAATAACCTGAATAAGCAAGATAAAATGTACACCTGGATGAGTAAACCTTTTCATGGGCGCCATCTCAATCATATCAGCCAAGAATATGTCGAAAATACAGCGTCGAACTATTGGTTGGCATCAGGAAAGATGCCCCGAGAGTAAAGGTTTCCTACTTGCCATTCAGGATCGGGTTATTCTAACTAAAAATTACCTGAAATATATTGTTACAGATCCTCAAGTCTAATATGACAAATGGCGACATGAATGTTAAGCCCAAGAAACCATCTAACATCGTACCGGGGGCTGCCAGGTGTCTGTTGGTATTAATTATAAAGAACGCCATGACTCAGTAGAAAAGATTATCCACCAAGAACTAGCTGACAAACTGGGACTTCAAACCGACCATTTTCCTTATTATCAATTACTTGACACAATGCTTGAAAATAACAACTACAAGCTATACTGGGACAGCACTGTGCTCACAGACCAACCAGGTGCTCATAATAGACCGGATGTCATACTAGTTAATAAACTTACTAGGTAACCAAAACTAATAGATGTGGCAATACTTAACACCAATAATTTGTGTGTTAAATATAACGAAAAGATCGCCAAGTACAGAGATCTAGTAATACAAATGAGGAGTCAATGGAGAATGAAAAGTATATAGGCAGTACCTATTATTCTATCTACTCCACTACTCCACTACACATCAGCCTCCACTACTTAAAGCATCAACTGAAACTTTTCTAATACTAAAACTTACTATTAATATAACTTATAAAAGTTATAAAAAAAGCAAAGTTTTGGTAAATTTATATTAACGCACAGATCTCACAAACAACCACAATAACAATTAAAATCAATTTTAAAATTTTAAGTTTAAGATAAGTCCGTAACGGCATTAAATAAAATCATAAGATTTCATGACCAGAGTCAAAATCAGCTACCAAATCTGTAGATAATTTTGATTCATGGTAAATACCTTTTGGATTTGGTTTTTTCTTGGACGCATTGGAAGCATTACCCTTCTTTTAACTTCGTCAAAACAAAAGTAATGCTTTTGGTCCCGGTAATTCATTCAATAACTCACGTTTCAACTATCGATAGGTTGAGCTTTTGAGTTAATGTGCATGAATCCCTTCCCGTTTTTGTTGTTTTGTCTTACCTGGATAATAAAGGTAAACAAACCATACTGGTTGGATAACGAAATAGAGGAAGAAATAAAATATAAAAGACAACTATACCAACAATATTGAAGCTCCATATCATTACAAAACAAAATAAAATATAAAGAAAAACAAGCAAAAGTACGAAGGAAAATCTTTAAGAAGAACGAGTCTTGGGAAAGAAACTGTCAAAGAATAAATACTTATCTAGGAGGAACCAGAAGCAAAGAAAGCTGGAAATTGATAAAAAATGAATAAAAGAAATGAATAAAGAAGTAATATAAAACATAGAACCTGAAGAACTTTTGATAGAGAATAGAGTCGAATTTCAAGAACATAGAATTTAAAACCAAGATAGAATTATAATAGTCGCCTCGCCAATAAGATTAACAACAGGGAAAATTAAAAATTTACGTAAACAGCCGAAGAGGAAAAAAGCACCCGGACCAGGGGATATACCGGGAGAATTGTTTAAGTATGGAACGAACAAATTGTAGGAAGGCCTTCGACAACTATTTCAAGTACGCATAAACACAAGCGAAATCCCTACGGAATGGAAGATATCATACCTCAGTACTATACATAAAAAGGGTGATAATTGTGAAAATTACCGAGGAATAGCTGTAACCGGATCTATGAGTTGAATATATGAAAAGGCTTTAAAGAACCGAATCGAGAGAGAATACTTAGATTATGAAGCAGAAAAACAAGCATGATTTGGTATGGGTCGATCCACTATTGACCACATTTTTTCCTTAACCCAGATAATAGAAAAAAAGATGGCACGGAATCAATAGATTCATATATGTTGTTGGTCGACCTACGGAAAGTCTACGACAACGTTCGACTGAAGAAGCTGTGGCAATCAATGGAAAGCACGAATATTAATATAGAATTAATAAAAGTCGTCAAAGAGATATACAATCAACAAATAACAAAAATAAAATCAGGGACACAAATGACAACAGGATTTGTAACATCAAAAGGATTAAAATTCGAATGTTGTCTGCCCACCATTTTATATAAAATATACCTCGAAAGTGCTTTCAAAAGATAGAAACAAAAATGCAGGACAATGGGGATACCGCTCACCAACACTATGGCATATACGCTCAACTGTGCAGATGATCAAGTAACAATGGCTCAAGATTATGACGATTTAAGCTATATGGCACGAAAATTAATTGAAAAGTCTAGAAGTAAATAAAAAGAAAACCGAATAGCTGTGCATTGGAATAGAACAAAAAGATCTCATATTATACGATAACACCACGATAAAGCACTGCTGTGACTACAAATATCTAGGTATCACTATTTCACAAGATGAAACATTAGACAAAGCCATAAGAGAGAGAAATACGTCAGGGGAAAAGCCATCACACTGTTAAACAGCATTTTATGGGACCAATCCATTAGCAAACACTTAGTAGCAAACAAAGTTAAAACACTACAGTAAAAGGGCAGCACCGGTTCGGGGCCAACTCTTATGGAAATTAACATAGGAAATCGCTAAGGTTCATTCTGGTCATTTTTGTCTCATTTTGTGGTGGGGGTAAAACGGCTCGTCGGATCATGACGTGTGAGGTATCGATGGAAAGGGGAGAGGGTAACGAATATGTTTAGATAAAAACAAAACGCAAAAGACAATACCAAAAGGACACTAAGCTTGTAACATTCAAACGGCTCAACGTACAACAACGTACGAGGGCTCTGTGGAACGGGGAGGTGGTAACGAATATGTTTAGATAAAAACAAAACGCAAAAGACAATACCAAAAGGACACTAAGCTTGCAACGTCTGAACTACTCAACGTACAACAACGTGTGAGGTATTGTTGGAACGGGGAGGTGGTAACGAATATGTTAAAATAAAACGCAAAGACATCGACGCTAGCTTGTAACGTCCAAACGGCTCAACGTGAGAGGTAGCGATGGAAAGGGAGGTGGAATATGTTAAGACAAAAAGCAGACGCAAAGACCGTGCCAAACGACGCTATGTCGTATCTCTGTTGTTATTAGTCAGAGTACTACGTGTAACATGTTAAATGAAAAGGGGAGGTGACGGGAAATATGTTAAGATACAAGACAATGACTAAAACGCCGCTATATCGGATCTTTGTTTAGCATAATAGACATTTGAGGAAAGTGAGGCTAACAGGGAAACAAACATGACAACATTGAGAAAACGGCTCTAAATCATATCTTTGTTGCTATTGAACATAGTTTTAATGGGATTCCGCGTATAATACAGTTCATCGTCTCGTCGCGCCACCTGTCGACCACATCTAGCACCTGACATCGTAAAAAAGACACACAGCCTCTCTCTCTCGTGAAACAATGCGAAAGGTGATGTTGAAAAGGGTATAACATACAACAACGTGTGAGGTATTACTAGAAATAGAACATGAATCGAAGAATATATATTATTCTTACAGTATGACCAACCCAGCAAACATCCTCAATATAATATTCTCTGTATATGCGTATCTACGGTAGTTTGAGTAATATAAAAATTATAGAATACAAATGGTGAGTTGTATACTAATTTACGACAATTCGGATAATATACAAAATTAGAGAATACAAATGGTAAGTTGCATACTTATTTACGACAATTCAGGTGAGATACAAAATTAGAGAATACAAATGGTGAATATACTATATTTTATCTACGGCAATATTATGTTTTGTAGGTTGGTATTGTATTTTATAATTATTAGTTATAATCGGTATGTAAACGTAATATCTGAGGTCCTCCCCACTCCTGTAAAATTGACAGATGATACATAATTGAACGAATAATGCAAAATCAGTATCAATCAATCATTCGGCGGAGTATGATGGAAAAAATTGAGCTGTTCAGAGGTCCGAACGCAGTCCGAAAAATTAAGCAATTAAATTTAGATGACATACTTATTGATCAATGGATG